CAGAGCTTGCACTGGGTTTCTACTAGATTTTTAGTGTTATACCCCTTGATCAGACAGTGTTGGATTTGTACACAAGTGAACTAAACAAAAAGTGTAGGAATTCGCAAAGATTATTATACTGTATGTCTGTAAGCTGTGTATAAATAAAATAAGCAAGGGCTTCTGTACTATGGTATAGTTGAAACCCTTTGCAGATGTTCACTTATGCCTGGCTTCTGAGTCACAGCAGCATTCAGGTTCTTTTCATTTCTCTTTTCCAGACAACGTATACAGAGAATGCTTTGCAAATGGCAGCTGGGCAACCCGTGTGAACTACTCGTTGTGTCAGGAGATCCTCAATGAGGAGGTATGAACAGTCGTGTGTTTCAGGTATGGCTGTGTTTCTTTATGCGTGGATTAGTAGAAGTAGCAGCCACAAGATTATCAGAGCAAATTGAGCTCAGTCCATGGTATTTTCTCCAACTTTTATTTATTTATTTACTATATTTATACCCTGCCCTTCTCACCCCGAAGGGGGTTCAGAGTAACTTACAAGTAGGCAAGAATTCAATGCCGCATAAAACAAGCATATGAGTAAAATAAATATATGCATTAAAACCATAAAATTAAAAAAAACATCTAGACATTAAAACCAATTATTAAAACCACCAAATCCAAAATCATAGTCGAGGATCCATTCCAGTTGTAATTTCACTTTTTCCGTATCGCTTATTGCACTGAGTTTACTGTCTGAAGGCTTGGTCCCATAGCCACATTTTTAACTTCTTTCTAAAAGTCAGGAGGGAGGGAGCCGATCTGATTTTGCTGGGGAGGAAGTTCCACAGCTGAGGGGCCACCACTGAGAAGGCCCTATCTCTCTTCCCCACCAACCGCACCTGTGGAGGAGGTGGGACTGAGAGCACTGCCTCCACAGGCGATTTTAACCTCTGAGGTGGTTCATAGAGGGAGATATGTTCAGACAGCTAAGCTGGGCCAGAACCATTTATGGATTTATAGGCTAAAGCCAACACTTTGAATTGTGCTCAGTAGCAGACTGGCAGCCAGTGGAGCTGACGTAACAGGAGAGTTGTATGCTTTCTGTATTCCCCTCCGGTGAGGAATCTGGCTGCTGCCCATTGGACCATTTGAAGCTTCCAAACAATCTTCAAAGGCAACCCCACATAGAGCGTGTTGTAGTAGTCTATTCAGGATTTAACAAGAGTGTGGACCACCATGGCCAAGTCTGGCTTCGCAAGATATGGGTGCAACTGGTGCACAAGTTTTAATTACAAAAGCTTTCCTGGCCACTGCTGAAACCTGGGGTTCCAGCCTCAGTGACGAGTCCAAGAGAACTCCCAAGCTACGAACCTGTGTCTTCAGGGAGAGTGTAACCCCATCCAGCACAGGCCGTAACCCTATACTCTGTTCAGCCTTTCAACTGACCAGGAGGACCTCTGTCTTGTCTGGATCCAATTTCAATTCATTCTCCCTGATCCAGACCATCACAGCTGCCAAGCACCAATTCAGGACCTGAACAGCCTCCTTGGCATCAGGTGGAAAGGAGTGATAGAGTTGGACATCATCTGCATACAGATGGCATCGAACTCCAAAACTCTGGATGATTTCTCCCAGTGGCTTCATGAAGATGTTAAACAACATGGGCCTTTCATGTACACATATAGAGAAAATTGGATCCAGGCTGTGGCACTTCTCAAAAGACTCCTAAGGACTTATTTCATGTTAAGAGAAGCAATTCATGACAGTTGTTTAAGCCCTAAACCTCCCGGGCCCGAATGTTAGAACATCCATAGAATCATAAAGTTGGAAGAGACCTCATGGGCCATCCAGTCCAACCCCCTGCCAAGAAGCAGGAAAATTGTATTCAAAGTACCCCCAACAGATGGCCATCCAGCCTCTGTTTAAAAGCTTCCAAAGAAGGGGCCTCCACCACATTCCAGGGCAGAGAGTTCCACTGCTGAACGGCTCTCACAGTCAGGAAGTTCTTCCTAATGTTTGAAGCCATTGTTCCGCATCCTAGTCTCCAGAGCAGCAAAAAACAAGCTTGCTCCCTCCTCCCTATGACTTCCTCTCACATATTTATACATGGCTATCATCTCACCTCTCAGCCTTCTCTTCTTCAGGCTATACATGCCCAGCTCTTAAAGCCGCTCCTCATAGGGCTTGTTCTCCAGACCCTTTTCTGGACACATTCCAGCTTGTCAATATCTCTCTTCAATTGTGGTGCCCAGAATTAGACACAATATTCCAGGTGTATTCCATTATACTTTGGGTGAGTTGATAGTTTCAATGGGAAGCGTTTGGTTTAACAAAATAACAAGTCCAGTCAAAGACGAGAAGACTTGAGGTTCCCCATTCCTTCACTCCCAATAAGACAAGTTGGCAGGTTTCGGAGGCCAAGGACAGCTTGAACCTTGTTTTTCAATATCTTGTCATTCCTTCTCAACATCTGGTGCCTGAAAAACTAATGGTAGGCCAGCCCTGAACTATGGCTTGTCATTTGAACTCCCTTGGAGCCTTGAGATTTCATTTCAGTGGGTCAGGGCATATACAGGAAACTTGCTTCATGGATGGATTATACCCTTTATCCATTTGTCTTTCATTCAGTTGACCTTAATGACCCACCAAATCCTGCCTATAACTTTATAGAGTTGCCTGGCTTCTAATCAAACCTCTTCATATTTGGATCCCTGCTCTCAAGCCTGGATGCAGGAATGTGCTATAGTCTAAATCTCAATGCAACAGCATCTGATGTCTGGTGCAAAGATTTCCTGTCTTTGCATCTTGGAGGGTAGGAGAGTGGATCAAGCTGAGAAGAAGGCAAGTGAGGCATTTTTGGTGTGCATCATTCAGAAAAAAATCCCAGAAGGCTGCCACTTAATTAGAATTTAGCAACATGATATATCTGCAGAGGCAATTAAATTTGGCTGTCCCTGGGGCATGGGTAAAAATCACAGGAGAGGATGGCTGGCTAATTAAATTAGCCAACTGCCCTACTGTGAGGCTTGCATCCACTCTGCAAATTAGCAATTAATGGGGGAGAGAAATCACCATTCTTTTTTTCAATAACACTGCAGCATCTTCAGACTGCAAAAAGCTGACGTTTGTTGTTCTTTCCCAGAAAGCCTTTTTTTCCACGCTTCTAAGGATCCCTTCCTCTGCATAACCTGTTTTCCAGAATTACCAAACACCCAGATCTTGGAAGTTACTTCTTTGGCAGAGGCAGCTGCTGGATCCACTGCTGTAGGAGTAACAAATCTTGATTTTGTGGCCAATTTTCACACATTTGCTCTGAGTGGGATGGGAATTCTGCCAGTGCAGAGACTCTAAAAGAGTGGTTCCCAATTTTTTTTTTACCAGGAATCACTTTGACCAGGGGCCACTTGAACATGTACAACTTTGACCAGGAACCACTCTCCAACGTTAGTACCAAAAGAGTTATGAATCAGTTTATGGTCAACTTTAGATTCAGTTTCATTATTTGGGGTGCTGATTCAGAAAATTGCATTGAATAGACCACATCAGCTCTAGTTTCTGATACGTAACATATGCCATCCAGTAATCACCATCTGCTCAGCCACAGAAAACCATATTTAATAATCTAAAGCAGAAGTAATAAAAGTAAGCTTTTAGGGGTAGTCATCTTCTCCCTTCCTGACATCCCCATTGCTTTGGCATTATATGAGGGTTTTGAGAGACCAGACACTCTTGTTGCCGCATGGTTTTGAGGCAACAGTGTAGTAATGATGAGGCCATGGACCATATTTTCATTCTTGCAGATCACAAGTTGGGAACCACTGCTCTAAAAGAACAGGTCCATCACAAGCAATGCTCTTGTTTGAGTAAATCTACAGTATATAGTTACATTAATACCACTTTTCACAGCCATGGCTCCTATAACAAAACACCACATGCTACTTGCCAAAAATATAACAACACAGTGAGGAGTAGTAGAGAAGATTTTAATTTATTTATTTAGATGGGGAAATATCTATAAAATAAATCCCAAAGCTTGCTCTCAGCCAAAATTATGAAGCTCACAAAAGGTAGAGGGAGTATGGTTGCTGAACCAACTGTATATTTAAGTATTAGGAACTGGGAACCACTGGAACTGAGAGACTTAAAATGATTCTTCAATAGATTTCTGCTGTCATCATTTCAATATTCAAACAGGCTGAGGTAATATTTGAGAGTTTGTTCTGTGACTCACACTGTGTCACTATAACTTCTTAGAGACTGCTATGAAGCTGATTTTAACAATATTTTGACCACAAAGGTATTCACACTGAGGCTGGTATAAGTTGATAAAAATAACAAGAATGTTTATTGAACAGGCTTGAATAGTTCAGGTACAAATGCTTAATAGTTTCAGTAAAATACTGGCATAAAAAGCTTGTGGTTGTGTTAGAGCCAAGATTTTAAAACTTCTGGGTTTTCAAAGTTCCACCACAGAAAATTACTTCAGGAAATGAATCTCTGAAAGTAACTCCCAAAAATGCCCCTTAGGAATCTAGCCAAAAATCCTGAACTAGACTTCCTTAGGAATTGAACAGACCACTAACGTAGTACTGCTCCTCCACAGTATTCTAGCTATCTACTCAATAGCTACACTGAATACTTCACAAAAGACTGACCCAATTCTTCTTCTCAAAACCCAAACTTGTTTCCCACTAACACCAATACTTCTTCTCTCTAACAGCTCTAAACCCTAACTGACCAAACTGGGACCTCAAGCCTCAGTTTAAAAGACACCTTTTCCCTCTAAACACTTACGCTCCGCCCCCTTCTTTCTAACCAATCCTAGCCTTCTAACTTTCCCTCCAAGAGTTGAACATGCCCCCTCAAGGCAAACCTAAGTAAGATGGCTTCTCCCTGTCTCCCTTTTCTAAAGTAGATGCCGTGGCTTCGCTAGGCCCACTCCCTTAGACCTCAGGCAGCTAAGATAAGGGATTCATTACACCTCCCCTCACAGTATTATGAATTTTTTAGTTGGAATCCATTCTAGAAAGCTCTATAGTTCCACTTTTTGGAACTATAGCATTACAAAGTAAAACATTCCATTGACTGGAACCTTGATATTTAAAGTGGTCAAACTCTTATAACTCTGCATGTGTATGTGAATATAGTCTTGAACTCATCACCCACATAGCAATGCCTCCACTTGCTCAGTCTGTCCATTAGGGTACAACTTCCATGATCCAGATGCAAGCATAGCTACTAGTCAATAGCCATTCTAGCTTGGGATTCTGGAAATTATGTCCAAAAAGGTAATTTTCATACAATCTGATGCCAAACTGGCTAGGTAATGCTGTGAGGTGCAGTCCAAAGAAGTAAGTTTTGTCCCAAGTTCTACATGTCCCTCATGTTCTACTCCTGTCAGTTCAAAATACTTTTATTTTAACTTAATGGGTGCAATGGGTTAAACCCTTGTGCAGGTCGGTGATTTGAATCTGCAAGATGAGGTGAGCTCCCATCTGTCAGCTCCAGCTTCTCATGTGGAGACATGAGAGAAGCCTCCAATAGGATGATAACACATCCGGGCATCCCTGGGCAATGTCTCTGCAGACAGCCAATTCCCTAATGGTAGAAGCGACTTACAGTTTCACACGTAGCTTCTGACACGATACAAAAAAGTAACATTATCCCTTTTCATAGATATGATTGCACTCTGTTCATCCTGAAAAGCCTGCCAGCCAATTTCAGGAATGTTTGGGGTTTCCCAATCCATTTTTAAATGACAGAAGTCAGTAACGTATTGCCACAATGTGCACTTAACTTTTTGGAATTCACAATGAAGTGACAGATGACCCAATAACTCATATTAGCAGTCAGGTCATGCTCTAAGGGCAGCCATTGGCAACACTGCTGCTTGTAAAATGTTTCCAAATTATTAATATTTTCAAAAGGGCAGCATGTTAGTTGGCTGCATAAAACAACCATGAATCATGTAGCACTTTTAAGGCAAGCAGATTCAATAAAAGATGAGTTTTTATGGGTTAGGATCTACTTCATCAAACCTGCGAAGGATCATTCCATGCATTAGGGAAAGTGCATTTTGATCCAGGAAACTTATGCTATATAATAAATCTGCTTGCCTTATAGGTGCCATGTGACTCTTGGTTGTTTTGCTGCTTGTAAATGGTTGCTTATAAAACTCCTTTAGAGAAGAGAAGATAAAAGGGGAAGTACAAAAACAAAAGAAACACATCAGAAAAAATTATAGAGCTACAGCCATTTTTTATACTGGAAAATATTTTCCCCAAGAATAGAGGACGATAAGGAACATGATGGCCTTTTGGTCACGGAACATTGGCCATGGCTGGAAATAGTGAGGGAATGACACCAAGTGACACAGGTTTTCAAACATTTACAATGTTATGTCCAAAGCTGAATCCTCTACAGAACAATAACAGCACAAACCCAGCCATCCAGAACTGACAAATGTTCCTTCAGCACTGATTCATGGAGCCCCCCGAGGCGCAGTAGGTTAAACCCCTGTGCCGGCAGGACTGAAGACCGACAGGTCACAGGTTCGAATGTGGGGAGAGCGCGGATGAGCTCCCTCTATCAGCTCCAGCTACTTATGAGAGAAGCCTCCCACAAGGATGGTAAAAACATCAAAACATCTGGGCAATGTCCTTGCAGACGGCCAATTCTCTCACACCAGAAATGATTTGCAGTTTCTGAAGTCGCTACTGATATGACCAGAAGAAGAGGAGGAGGAGGAGGAGGAGGAGGAGGAGGAGGAGGAGGAGGAGGAGGAGGAAGAGGAGGAGGAGGAGGAGGAGGAGGAAGAGGAGGAGGAGGAGGAGAGGAGGAGGAGAGGAGGAGGAGAGGAGGAGGAGGAGGAAATAGAAGAAGAAGCCGTTCTGATTCATATACTGGTTTTATTTATCGTGTCAGGGGCAGACCAGACATTTGCATTGCATTTTTTAAACAAACAAACAGACAAACAAAACACAAAGTTTGCAAGCTTGGTAGTTGCAAACTACCTTTGACCAGTAGCTGGCCACTTGGAGTGCCACTGGTGTTGCCGCAAGAAGGTCCTCCATTGTGCATGTGGCAGGGCTCAGGTTGCATTGCAGCAGGTGGTCTGTAGAAGAAGAATATGCTGGTGTCCACACACTAAACTAGTGTTTCTCAAACTATACAGTTACCTCTATAAGTTGCTATATGTTACTGAACAGCTTGGAAATTAATCCATTTCCACTTGCATTCTGAGAATTATAATTTAAAAATAAGTCACCTAAGCATGTAAGTAAATTTCCCAAAATGACATGTTCCTCAAGTTCTAATTTCTGTCTGCATTCACTTGTCCTTGCTTAGCAGGGCCCCAGAAATTTTGAAATTGGGAAAAGGCAACCCTACATTTACCCTACCACACTTTTAAAGCAAGATTCCTCTGATTCCTTTTGGACATGACACACCTTCCATAGCTTCATCGTCTTCTTTTATATCTTCTCATTCTATAGAAGAAGAGCAAGTTGCACTACCAAGTTGCTGTTGTCATCAACTATCTTGGACACTGTATTTCCCTGGGGGCCTTGTTAGCTGCTTTCATCCTCTTCATGCGACTGAGGTAAGCAATGCTAAAAAAATAATCTACAGCAAATTTGTCCAACCTGCTATTTTCCAGTTGTCCACACTGGCTGGGGATGATAGAGGCTGTACTCCAGTACATATAGAACCATGTAATGTCCATCAATGTAGTCCAATCCCCTGACATGTATAAATATATAGCTAAATCATCCTTGGAAAAATGCCTATCCAAGCTCTGCTTAAAGAACACCAAAGGTAGAGATCCCACCATCCTCTGAATTGGTCTATTCCATTGTTGAACAGGTCTTGCAATAAGAAGTTATTTCTAATGTTTAGGTGGAATATCCTTCCTTATAATTTGGATTCCATTAGGTCATGTTCTAGTCCAGTGGTTCTCAACCTGTGGGTCCCCAGGTGCTTTGGCCTACAACTCCCAGAAATCCCAGCCAGGATTTCTAGGAGTTGTTCTACTCTCAAGAGTGGCAGAAAACAAGCTTGCTCCTTTTTCTTCATATGTTTAAAGATGGTTATCATGTCACTTCTCATTCTTCTCTGCTCCAAGCTAGTTGAGGAAGGTTAAACAGATGAAAAGTAATAATGTGGTGGTCTCGAGAAAGGGGTGGTTGGACCTTTTGATCATTTGGTGCCTCACCTGCTCTGTTTTATTTTATTTTCTCTCTTCAGGAGTATTCGATGTTTACGAAATATTATCCATTGGAATTTGATAACGGCCTTCATTCTGAGAAATGCCACGTGGTTCGTGGTTCAGCTCACCATGAATCCAGAAGTGCATGAAAGCAATGTGGTAGGTTCACATAAGCACAGCTTCAAATGGCTGATGATCGTGTTGTCTGTAGTTTGGCTGCTGGTTCTTGAAAACCTGAAAGGAGTGTAGCCTCCTCCACTTTTTAGTAAGATCTCTAAAGCCTGATCTTGTAAAACTAAAGTCAAGAAAACTACTAGAAGTCTATACTGTACAGTACTAACATAGAGGTGACAGCATAAAACTGACTGCAATTCCATTAATCCTAGCCAATATGCCCCATAGTAATGGGTGATGGGATTTGCAATTCATTGAAAATGGTTTCAATAGAAATTGACAATTCAAGGACAATATTTAGTCTTGCTTAACAGTCCCAATTGGGTTCTAATTATTACTATATTGTAACTCCTAAACATGGTCTACATAAATCTCCAAAGGAGAATAGTACAACTGTCAGATTCATATACACAACACAACTGTCAGGATATATACATAACACAACTATTTAGTCTTGCTTTACAGTCCCAACTGGGTTCTAATAGTTTCTATACTGTGACTCCTAAACATAGTCTACATAAATCTCAAAAGGAGAATAGTACAATTGTCAGATTTATATACATAACACAACTGTCAGGATTATAAAATAACACAACAAGTAATCCCGGGTACAATATTCTTGTTTTGGGGATCTTTCTTCAGGTTGTGAATAGTCTAAAGCAAACTTTTGATGAATGACATTTTCTTCATATAGTCCGTGGTCTCAAAATCTTCTCTTATGTTTATATAAATGTATTGCTATTTCTTTAATTACACTTGCACAGTCCTGCTCCAATTCGAAGCTTTCTTGTGTTGCTTATCTTATGTTGTGCCTCAAGCAGAGTTCTATCAGTTCTTTTCACTTGCAAGTACTGTTACTTTAATATCACTTGAATAATCCTGTTCCAATTCCAGGCTTTCTTGTGTTGCTTGTCTTCTAAACAAAACATAGATACATAATGATAGTTTGTTGTTCATTCGTTCAGTCGTTTCCGACTCTTCGAGACTTCATGAACCAGTCCATAATGATAGTAACTTTACTAAATAAACCAAAATAGATATCTACAAACCACCCCTGTGTTCTACATGCCCTTGGTTAAATATATAAAATATAAGGATTTCAGCAAAATGGAAGAGATGTTTTGCATGCTAGAAGTTTCAGATTTGGTCCCTGGTGTCTCTAGGTAGACCTAGTTAAAATTCGTCTTTCCAAGCCCTGAAGAACTACTGAGAGTTATCAAAGTAACACTGCTAAGCTAGATCGAGTCATGGTCCAATTCAGTCTAAGGCATCTTCATGAAGAGATGAATTGCTGCGACATCACAGAGTCATGGTACAAGAGGAGGCATCTCTGGCTGCTACTGGATGAGCTGATCAAATACTTTAAGCTGTAGAGGTTAGGAAGGCGGAAGCTTAAAATAGCCAACCAAAGCCCTGTGGCTCTTGAATAATTGCAGTTATCCCAGTCATATTCCTAAGGGCAAGCTAATGGGAAAATACATTAATATATGTCATGGGTCTTTTGCGCATCTCAGATACAAATGTTTGGCAGGTTTCTGGGATTTCGTCTTGCTGCCCTTGCTGATTCCACCTATACTCTTCCCTCTTTGTCCTCAGTGCCTCCTTAATATCTGAAAACTTATCAAGAAAGGGAAAAAGTCCCTGGGAATATAGAGATTTTCTAGTTCTTTTTGTTTCATGGTTTTGCAACTAAACTCTTCCTTGAAATATCCTGGGTTTCCCTCATTTTCCCCTCTGCTGTGTTATTTCTCTTCTCCCTCCCGCTTATCATGTGTCACAAAAAAATTTCAAAAATTGTCTTTCACCAGTTTATACCGAGTCCTTTTTAAATGCATTATTCAGGAGTTATGCTCAAAGTGCTAAAGTGCTTTAGTAACTAGTTGGGATCATTTCCTTTTATTGCTAGCATTCATATTTCCTTCACTTGATCTCTGTTGAATTGGAGCCCTGGAAAAATAGTTATGTTTATTAGTAGCCATGTTATCTAGTTCCAATGTAATATAAACATATCCACACCACACTACCCTGTTATAGTATTATATTCCACTTTAACTGCCATGGCAACATCCTATAGAATTCTGGAGCTTGAAACTACCAAGAGGTATAAGAGGATTCTAGATGATAAATAATGATGATGATGATGATGATGATGATACACTTAATTTATATTCTGCCCTTCTCCCCATGGGTACTCAGAGTGGATTACAGTACATATAAATAAATACAGGCAAACATTCAATGCCTTGTTTTTTGGGGGAGTTTTTTTTGTGTCAGGAGTGACTTGAAAAACTGCAAGTCACTCTGGTTTGAGAGAATTGGCTGTCTGCAAGGACGTTGCCTAGGGGATGCCCGGATGGGTTTTTTTTATGTTTTGTCATCCTTGTGGAACGCTTCTCCCATGTTCCCACATGGGGAGCCGGAGCTGAGAGAGGGAGCTCATCCATGCTCTCATCATATTCGAACCTGTGACCTGTCAGTCTTCAGTCCTGCTAGCAGAAGGTTTTCACCCACTGTGCTACCGAGGGCTCTTGATCCATGCTTTGTTACAATTCAATGAAACACACATATACAAATAAAGGCAAAGGCTCCTCCTTTCATTTCCGGCTCTGGAAGCCGAACACATCTCAGGCTCTGGGGGAGGAATTCTTCTCCATTTCCAAGCTGAGGAGCCTGCGTTGTCACCTCCTCGTTTTGTGACCGGCACAATTGCTTGGAGAGTCTTTATGCCTTTCCCAATGAAGCGGTACCTATTTATCTACTCACATTTGCATGTTTTCAAACTGCTAAGTTGGAGGAGCTAGGGCCGACAGCAGGAGCTCACTCTGTTCGCGGATTCAAACTCCCAACCTTCAGGTCGGCAGTTCAGCAGCACAAGGGTCATTCCCTGAATTACATGCCACTCCCTGAATTACAAATCCCATGATTCTATAGGATGTTCCTATTACAATTTCTGTGGAATAATAGTGCTATAACAGCCTAGTGCAATGAGATTCACAGACAGCTATAGAGTTGTACATTTCATTTCAAGAGAAAGTGGGTTTGATTTAAACTGACAAAGCAAGTGGGAGTGAAAAATCCTTGATAATGGCAGGGACTCCCTGGGAGCACTTTGGGATGGGAAAACCGGCATGTAGATCTCCAAAATAAAATTAGTTTGTACAGGAGCAAAACGTGACACTTTCGGAGACTTTTTTTCCTTGCCTGGAGAGGCTCTCTGTCAACATTTAATTTGCTTTATGTGATTGTTTTTTATATGTAGCACAGCATTCCAGGGACTGAATGCCTCCCACACCTCTCTGTAGTTCTGTCCCTAGTCAAATCTCCAGACTGTCAATCTTGCCAAGACAGTTTTTCCACATTTGATGTGTGGAAATGATTTCTTGCAATCAACTGTCACATCCTCCTAAGGTGCTTGTAACCTAGCCACTGCCTCACTTCCTAAAGATTTTTCTAGGGAGTAATGCTAGGTAGCAGTGTGTGCATTCTCCCCACAAAGCACAAGATTCGTATTATCATGATGTAGTATTTGTGGATTAATATTAGAAGCATGTCTATGACGGTTGGCAGAGCTAATGGATTGGGAAATATAGAATCCCTTAAACCTGTCAAACATTTATATAGAAGGATATAACATTATATCATAGGTATTTCATAGTAGTGGACCTGAAGTTTAAGGGGGAGGGGGAGTCAAAATCTGTTCAAGGAATTATATTATTACTAGCTGTGCCCACCACGCATTGCTGTGGTCAACCTTCCCTCCCTCTTTCTCGCCTTCCTTCGCTCCCTCTTTCCTTCCTCCCTCCCCCTTTTTTTCTTTCCTTCTCTCCTTCCTTCCCTCTCTACCTCTTTCCCTAACCCCCTTTTTTCATCCCTCTTTTTCTCCTTCCTTCCTTCTCTACCTCTTTCCTTCCTTCCTTCCTTCCTTCCTTCCTTCCTTCCTTCCTTCCTTCCTTCCTTCCTTTGCTTTTGCTTCCCATCCTTCTTCTTCTTCCTTCCCTCCTTTTTCTCCTCTTCTTCCTTCTCTCCTTCCTCCTTTCCTTTTTCTCCTTCCTCTCCCTCTTTCTCCTCTTCTTCCTCCTTCCTTCCCCCCTTTTCTTTATCCTCTTTTTCTCCTTTCTTCCTTCTCGACCTCTTTCCTTCCTTCCTTCACTCTTTGCTTCCATGCTTCATTTTCTATTTCCTTCTTTCTTTTCCTCCCTCTTTCTCTCCTTTCTTTCTCTCCTTTCCTCCCTCTTCCTTCCCTTTTTTTTTAGCATCATTTAGCTTTTCGTCATTTAGCTTTTTGGGGTTTTTAAGTCCTTTCCACTTTTGGGGGGGGGTTATGAGTGATGGTCAGTCATTGGTCTGTTAGGAGTATAGTGTCCAAATTTCGTGTCAATTCATCCAGTGGTTTTTCAGTTATGTTAACCCCACAAATGAACATTACTTTTTTATTTATATAGATGATGATGATGATGATGATGATGATGATGATGATGATGATTATTATTAAACTTTATTTATAACCCACCACCATATCCCCTCAAGGATTCGGGGTGACTAACATGAGGCCAAGCCCAACAAATACAATAAACAAGATAAAAAAACATACAGCAAATAACAACTCAAATAAAATACAAACAATAAAAAAATAACATAGTGGGATAAAACATTGGGTATAGGGTAAGATGAGAAATTAAAAATAAGAAGTTGATCAGAGTGGGCTGAGCCAAATGCAAGAATAATAACAGGGGACATTTGGTGAGATAGGAAAATAGAGTAGTTTATCTGATGGGAGAAATGGATGGGACAGGCAGTGGGATTTAGTTTTCCCATTAGGTGAAGTGCACAGAGAGGACAAGTTTAAGCTGGGACAGCCATGGTCTGGGGAATTTGTAGTTCATTCACCAAAAGCAATGCGGAACAGCCAAGTTTTTAAGCTTTTCCTAAAGACAGACAAGGTGGGTGATTGTCTAATCTCCCCAGGTAATGAGTTCCAAAGCCCGGGGAGGGGAGGGGGGGCACCACCGGAATTTTAATCTTGGCATCTCTAGGAAAGCTGAAGATTTGTTTTGAGCTTAGCTACCCAACACAGAAATGGGAATATCATAGGTTAGATTTACACTGCCATATAATCCAGTTTCTGAATCTAGATTATCTGCTTTAGATTATGGTATATGAGTCTACGTAGCCATATAATCCAATTCAAAGCAGTTAAACTGGATTCAGAAACTGAATTATATGGCAGTGTAGATGGGACCATACATCTGTTAATAGAGCACCAGACACTTTGTCGTAGATTTTCAAGGATTTCTGACACCCAATTATTTAACAAGAACAGCAACACATTATGTTCTTGCTTTGCCTAAATTATGAGGCTCAGAAGAAGACAATCTGAATATAAGTCAATGCACCTAATTTTACCCCCCCCCCCCCAAAAAAAAAAAAAAAACTGGGAAAACGGATTGACTTGAGTATAAGCCAAGGGAGGGAAATGCAGCTGCTACTGGTAAATTTCAAAATAAAAATAGATGCCAATAATATTACATTAACTGAGGCATCAGTAGGTTAAATGTTTTTGAATATTTACATAAAACTGTAATTTGAGATAAGACTGTCAAACTCTGATTAAACCATTATTCTAACCTTCTTCAATGTAAAAGTGTTTATGTATCCTTCCAATAATAATAGAGTAAAATAATAAATTTAATAAATTTTAATAATAATAATAAAGAGAGTAAAATAATAAATGCAATAAAATAATAATTATAGAGTAAAAATATTAAATGTAACAATAATAATAATAATAATAATAATAATAATAATAATAATAATAGAGTAAAATAATAAATAACTTTGACTCAAGCATAAGCTGAGGGGGGCTTTTTCAGCCTAAAAATGTTAAGGTCTATTTTCTCCAAATTCGACCAGTGTTCACATTTGGGACAGTATTTGTGCCAAGTTTGATCCAGATCCATTATTGTTTGAGTTCTCGGTGCTCCCAGGATGTAGGTGAACCACAACTCCAAAACTCAAGGTCAATTCCCACCAAACCCTTTCAGTATTTTCTGTTAGTCATGGAAGTTCTGTGTATCAAGTTTGGTTCAATTCCATAGATGGTGGAGTTCAGAATGCTCTTTGATTGTAGGTGAACTATAAATCCCAGCAACTACAACTCCCAAATGATAAAATCAACCCCCCCCCCAACCCCACCTGTATTCAAATTTGGGTGTATCGGGAATTTGTGCCAAATTTGGTCCAGTGAATGTAAATACATCCTGCATATGAGATATTTACTTTACGATTCGTAACAGTAGCAAAATTACAGTTATGAAGTAGCAACGGAAATAATTTAAGGTTAGGGGTCACCACAACATGAGGAACTGTTGCAGCATTAGGAAGATTGAGAACCACTACTGTAGGACTTTGATAGTTGTGATCAAAGAAAATAACTTCCAGGCTCTGCTCTGACCATTTGTCTTAATTTGCAATGTTGATTCCTCACCCTATAGGCCTGGTGTCGCCTTGTCACAGCTGCCTACAACTATTTCCATGTCACCAATTTCTTCTGGATGTTTGGAGAGGGCTGTTACCTTCATACAGCCATTGTTCTCACCTATTCTACTGACAAGCTGCGGAAATGGATGTTCATCTGCATTGGCTGGTGTAAGTCACATGTGGGGATGACATTTCCATAGCTATGCTGGGGATTTTGAGTGACAAGAAGTTTGGAAAAGATGTGGTTTTGAACTGCTATTCCCAGAATCCCCCAACTGGCATGGTCAACTTCCAAGCTTTGCAAATGACAGAGCTCTGATGTTCTGAAAGTAAGATTTGGAACTGAACCAAAATAAACTATCGAGTCACAAATTAATTAATCCGTTATGTGAATGTTAGAGACAATCTTATTTTAATCTTGTTCCAGAGTTGAGTCTGCACATATACAAAATGTTTCAGTTTCCAAGCAAAGGGACTGTTAGAACAGTATTTCTATTTGGGGTGTGTGGAAGAGGCTGATATCATGTATAAATACGTGAGAGGAAGTCATAGGGAGGAGGGAGCAAGCTTGTTTTCCGCTGGCTTGGAAACTAGGACGCGGAACAATGGCTTCAAACTATAAGAAAGGAGATTCCATCTGAACTTCCTGACTGTGAGAACTGTTCAGCAGTGGAACTCTCTGCCCCGGAGTGTGGTGGAGGCTCCTTCTTTGGAAGCTTTTAAACAGAGGCTGGATGGCCATCTGTCAGGGGTGATTTGAATGCAATTTTCCTGCTTCTTGGCAGGAGGTTGGACTGGATGGCCCATGAGGTCTCTTCCAACTCTATGATTATATGATTCTATAATCTGGTATCAAAGTAGGACCCAAATATTGTTTTTCCTCCTTCTTTCTTCCAACCTACTATTCTTGAGTAATTCATCAGGAGAACCATTGAAATCTGTCTTTGCTTTCATTCACAGGCATCCCATTCCCCATCATCATTGCTTGGGCCGTGGGGAAACTCTACTATGACAATGAGAAGTAAGTCAGCCTTGTCCTGCAGTTCCTTTCTGAATTCAAGAAAAGACTTATGCTATGTCTAGGTGGGAGCTATCTGGGGAATTGGTAGCTTTACCATATCGCTGGGATACTTGAATTTTATTTGAAGTCTAGGAATGCCATCTAGTTTAAACCATCATTTGGCCCCATGTTCCAAGATTTAGTCCTTGAAGAAGCTGAGATGTGGGGCAAAATGTCAAGGTACTCTTGTGTCAAAGTGTTCTGCAAGAAGCAAGTTCTCTCTGGATTTGAGGGTAGTTTGAGTGACTAGGATGAGTGATGTTGCACCAAAAGCAAGTGATGGATGCACCAAAGGGCACAAGAGACCAGACAGAAAGAAACAACTGGGAAAATTCAAGAAGAGGCCAATAGCTAGAGGGCAACTAAAATGATCAAAGGTCTGCAAACCATGCCCTATGAGGAACGTCTTAAAGAGCTGGGTATGTTTAGTCTGTAGAAAAGAAAGTTGAGAGGAGACATGATAGCCATGTATAAATACGTGAAAGGGTGTCATAAGGAAGAGGGAGCAATCTTGTTTTCTGCTGCCCTAGGAACTAGAACTCAGAGAAATGGGTTCAAATTACAGGAAAGAAGATTCCATCTGAACATTAGGAAGAACTTCCTGACTGTAAGAGCTGTTCGACAGTGGAATTCTCTGCCTCAGAAGGCCCTTCCACACAGCCATATAACCCAGAATATCAAGGCAAATAATCCATAATATCTGCTTTGAACTGGATTATCTGAATCCACACTGCCATATAATCCAGTTCAATGTGGATTAATACAGCTGTATGGAAGGGACCAGAGTGTGGTGGAAGTGCCTTCCTTAGAAGCTTTTAAACAGAGACTGGAAGGACATCTGTTAGGGGTACTTTGATTGTGCTTTTCCTGCATGGCATGGGATTGGACTCGATGGCCCATGTGGTTTCCTCCAACTCTTATTATTCTATGATTCTAGAAGCATATTAAGGTAGGTGCTTGATATGAATATTTGAATTTTGGGGAAATCAATTCAAACAACAATAAAGAAAATATAAAACTTTTTGATGCACTAACTCTGTGCCGTCACACCCAGATCCTATAAAAAAAACTAAGATGTGCTTCTCTCTTTGTCTGGGTGGACCGTGGGGGTCTTTCTTTAGAAGCTCAAAAATTCTCAGCAGCTGAGGCCACTTCAGGTTTGGAACATCAAAACAGAATATTTATTTCTCAAAGTCTTTGCAGACTTGGCACAGTTTGTCAAAGTTACAAACAAAACAGTCAATTGGTGAAACCATAGAGATGATCTTTCTTTCTTTTTCCTTCAGTTACTGAGGTAACTCTTCCCCAAATGGTAGAAAATATCCTGGGATCCTTTCACCCTAACCCTGAACTGCTATGGTTAGAAAAAAACCCAGGTTTTTTCCCCTATCTATAGCTCAAGGTTAGCTTTGGAGATGAAGTAATGCTCAATAATATTCAATAACTCAATATCTATCTATAACTCAATTACTCACTTGCTATCTATCTCTTACTCAATCATATCTCAGTTGCTATTCTATCTATCTCAATTAGCTTCTTTATCTATATAACTCAATCATACTTACAATGATTTTTTCAGAGCTACCTGCCTGACCAACAGCACATCTGAAGGAGGCAGGGGAGATTCCAAAATGGAGACCTCAAAACCTAGGAAAAGGGGCAGTCTCTAAACCCAAAGAGATACTTTCCTAAACCAATAGCTGCAAAAGGGCCTGCAATCTGGCTTTGCAGACTCTGATACTGTTTAACTTCCAGGGTGCTGCTGGGTCTGTAGCAGCCCTGGGGAAATGCAAAAGAACACTATCCCATGCAACTAAAAGGTAATGCAAACTATGCTCCTGGAAGACGGAACAAACTCCATATTTATCTGTCTTGGAAATATAGCGAAAGCATTTTTCGCATGTGTATCCTACTAAGATAAATGCATATAAGGGTAGGATACTGTTTATATCCTTAATATAAATTTTCGCAGGGAAACAAAAGAGCAGCTACAAGTATGACATTGTAGAAAAGTTTTCTGTTGATGAAAAGTGCAAGAAGTACAATGATGGTATTAAGGGAGGGGAAAACATCTGATAAATTGGATTGATTTATTTTTTTCTTACACGATTGTGAGGTCAGTAGTATTATGCTCCAAAACTATGTCTTTTGAAAGTCCCAGAGGAGTTTGACGTGCTCATTTTCTGTAACTTTTTCCGGCTTCTGATCCCATCAGTTAGTTGCCACAGGCAGATGGTATTTGTGGCACAAGTTCCAATGAATCATCTGAGCAACGGTGTTATGCCTCTGCTTGTAATCTGTCTCCACGATCTTCTTGCAGTAGCTGAGGATGGGATCTATTGTTTCATCTGCTTCCTTGCAGAGTCTACATTTGGGATCTGTCGTCAACTTATCAATTCTGTCAGCCCAAGAACAACCCATTAGAACAAATGCCATCAAAGATTGTTCTGTCGCGCGCTGGGCCTGTAAAGAATTTCCTTTAAGAACAGGACGTGCAACCTTTGCCCAGCGGGAAGCCGGGGGCCTAAAGAGAAGTTCTCAGAGGGTTTTCACCACAAATAGTCTTTAGATGGCTTGTGAAGTACAACAAAGTCCTTTATTAATGAACAATCAAACAGAAACTTCTCTTGTCTTCAGTAAAGATAAACAAATGATTCCAGGCTTTAATGCAACTGGTAGCTTCCTAAACTTGCCCACGAAGGACAGACAACTGTCTTCAATAACTTCTTCTTTACTTTAATGGAAAATCCCCTTTTTAACTTCTCCCAGGCTGACTGTAATCTAACCCTTACTGATGTGGGCTCCGCTACCGGGTCGAACTGCTTCTCGAACACGGCGAGTGGACCTACCAGTAAAGGCTTAGATGTTCTCCAGCTGGAGTTCTTTGGTCTTTAGGGCTGTTTTCCTGGAAATTCTTAAAGGTTGAAGCTTTTGTACAGGGGAAGCTTGCACACATCCTATACATTAGCTTTCCTTGCTGAGACTAACTAAAAATGGCTCCCTTCCCTTCCCAATTGCCCTGAGCAAGGGGCGGAACCAAAACTTAATGATGATGGACAGGTGACTTGCCCTATGACTGCAACCAAAAGAAGCCACCTATCTGCAGAGTCCCTGAAACCTAGGACTGCAAACAAACATTTAATACAAAGCAAATAAAGTTGGAGCTCCTGGTACAGCTGTACCAGAACAAAGATTATTATTATGATTATTATTATTATTATTATTATTATTATTATTATTTGAAACACAACAAGATGAGTCCACAGCAGACAAGATCACTCTGCTGGCTGTTGTATTGGATCACACATGGGACACTTCCCAAGTGTCTAGGACTGTGTGATGTATCGTCGAATAATGCATGCAGATCCCAGTATACAGTTCATTTTTGTATCTCTAGCAAAAATTGGATGCAAGTGTGTTTGCGTCTGCATCTCAGTTTAGTAGGCTGGAGCCGAGGAAAACAGTCGTGGTTTTCATTGCAGCCAACTAATTTAAAAATAATTACACATGAGTCACATGACCTTTAATGAATCAAGCTCATGACCCCTGTAATAGTTTATTATTGTTTTCCTTTCATTCAATGCTGCAAAACATTTAGCAGACTCATAAAGATGTAACTGTGATTTTTCATTTTCTGTCTCCACAATATGGTTCAGTGAATCTGACAAAAATGACACATGAGGACACAAGTGTGTCTGCCTTTTTGACCCTCAGGGCTAAAGGGTGGACAACTTTGAGTCTGCTGCCAGGACCCTTGGTCCTCTTTGCGGTCAGCAGGGGCTCGATACATTCTGAAAATCCAAACAAATCTGCACAATTTACTGATGGAGCACAATTCAATGACTTGGTGAAAGAAGTTGTTATTTCACACACAGAATTGAGTGTTGGCAATGAAACACTGAAATAGGGGGGCCCCATGCAGCTAAACAAAAGCTGGTACTTAATGAGAGTGGCCTAAGGTGTTCCCCCTGTGCCCTTGATCCTGCTTTCCCAGGGACTTGATAATAGAGGACTTAGCAGCCCTTTAACAAGTCTGGTCCATTGTTATTAATCACACAGGCAAACAGGATAGATTTCAGCCAGTGGTCCTTTCCCTTAATTGACAGTCATGACTTTTCACTTTCATGAAAAGTCCTAGCCTTGGATATGGGTGAAACTGATCTATCCTCTTGTTCTGAGTTTTGCAAACAGCTAGAAAGCCTGATCCTTGAATTTAAAACTTTTCTTTTCTTTGGAATGACTATATTTTTATCTGCTTTTCACAGCAACTATAATTTTGTGGAGCCACGATTAGGACTGGGTAATAAGGGCATCGGGTTGACTCCAACTACATATACATATGTATTGTCGAAGGCTTTCATGGCCGGAATCACTGGGTTGTTGTAGGTTTTTTCGGGCTATATGGCCATGTTCTAGAGGCATTCTCTCCTGACGTTTCGCCTGCATCTATGGCAAGCATCCTCAGAGGTAGTGAGGTCTGTTGGAACTAGGAAAAAGGGTTTATATATCTGTGAAATGACCAGGGTGGGACAAAGGACTCTTGTCTGCTGGAGCTAAATGTGAATGTTTCAACTGACCACCCTGATTAGCATATAATGGCCTGACAGTGCCTAGAGCAAACATTTGTTGAGAGGTGATTAGATGTCCTTGGTTGTTTCCTCTCTGTTGTTGTGCTGTTGTAATTTTAGAGTTTTTTTAATACTGGTAGCCAGATTTTGTTCATTTTCATGGTTTCCTCCTTTCTGCTGAAATTGTCCACATGCTTGCGTATTTCAATGGCTTCTCTGTGTAGTCTGACATGGTGGTTGTTAAAGTGGTCCAGCATTTCTGTGTTCTCAAATAAAATGCTGTGTCCAGGTTGGTTCATCATGTGCTCTGCTATGGCTGATTTTTATATATTATAAACATTATCATTATCTTTGTGATTTTATTTCTTCAGTACCCTTTGAACCCAGGATTCTTGAGTGTGTATGTATGTGCATGTGTATCTGCTTTCAAGTCACCAATTGACTATTGACCTCATGAATTTTATATTGTTTCTTTAGGCAAGGAATACTCAGTGGTTTTGCTATTTTCTTTCTCTCAAGCTTGTGTTACAATTACATTATGTAACACATTTTTGTTCGTGGATTATAAATGCCATTTGGTAATTGGTGATATCATAAAAACATGGAAAAAGTTTATTAAACTGCAAAAACATCATTTTTGCAGGACATCCTGCAACACATTTTGCTATAGCTTTTCAATGAATATCTCATTGAGTCTCATCCAATTCAACATAGTTTGTGGCAGCCACAAACACAAAGTTTCTGGAGTATAGCAACTACTTTCATTGTCAGTGATGCAAAATTAAACAGGAAATAATACTTTCAAACCAGGAACAGATTTAAAAAAAATAAAATAACGTAGTGTTATTAACCGGTAGTGTTCCATCCTGTAATATTATTATTATTATTATTATTATTATTAATAATAATAATAATAATAATAATAATAATAATAATATCTTTATTTATAACCCGCCACCATCTCCCCCTAAGGGGACTCAGGGTGGCTAACATGAGGCCTAAGCCAAAAACAATTAGACACAATTAGACACAAAACAACAGAGAAATACATCATAACAAAATATAAAAAATAACAAATAAAATAAACAGTATAAAATAGCATAGTAAAATCAAACGCAAAGGGTTGGCCAGATGTATGAGATAAAATGTTAAAAAGTTAAAACCCTGGGTGAGATAGGAATAGAAAAAAAAGTGTATTTGTGCGAGAGGAGCCCAAGAAGGAGGAGCAGCAGTGGGGGTTGGCCTTTATAAAGGACAGGGGAATGTGCTTTATCATGAGGACAACTGTGGGTGGAAACAAACAAAAGGGTTGAATGGTCACTATCTGAAGGCACATCAGAAGAGCCAAGTTTTTAGATCTCTTTTGAAGGCTGCTAGGGTAGGAGCTTGCCTGATCTCCCCAGATAGCAAGTTCCAAAAGCGGGGGGCCACAGCGGAGAAGGCCCTCACCCTCGTTCCCACAAGTCAAGCCTGCGATACAGGAAGGGGTGAAAGAAGGGCCTCTCCAGAAGATCAAAGAGATCGTGCAGGTTTATCGTAGGACATGCGGTCCTGGCCACCAGCTTTAGGGCTGGTGGCAAGTTTCATTGGGCATACAACGCAGGTAAAAAAAAAGTGATCCAATCTCCCACTTTTGAAAATAAGACAAGTGGAGCATATAGAGTACTTGTCCTACTATCCCCTTTAGCCTTTAATTTTAATAACATGGAAAACTTTATCAACAAGGTCTTGTTTTCTGAGCAGAAACTTCCTCTCTTTTGGCTTCAGCTGTACTTAAGAAAAGAAAGATTTCTTCCCCTCTTTATTACTTCATTTCTTTGCATTTTGACTTGCAGGTGCTGGTTTGGAAAGCGTGCAGGAATTTACACAGACTACATCTACCAAGGTCCTATGATACTGGTGCTATTGGTAAGAGTGGAATTTATTTGTTGCTCATTCTCAAAGTTTGGGAATGGGATATTAGCTAGATTTTACCTGGATGTCCCATTGATCATCACAGTTTATACAACAAATCATCAGGGTGAAAGCAGCTGTTGGTGCGACTATTTCTTTTTGGCCTTGGCAAAAGAAAAAAAGAAAAATCTACAAGTATCCCTCTCATTGCTTATGGTTACTTTGAATAAATGCTCTTAATTTCCCTGAATTGCAAAATAGTGGGAAGCTATGACACCAGCCTTCAAGGATTTTGTAGATTGTTGGATAGCAGGAGGCAGATGGGGAGCTGCAATATTGCCTAACTGCAAGGCTGTATTGTTTTCAAGGGACTAAGAAGACTGATAACAATGGGTTGAGTATTCTTTTCAGTCAAACATGACATATGAGTCTCACAAAGTGTTTCCTAATGATTGGAGGTTTTTTTATTGCAGTCAATCATGTTCCTTATAAAAGGGTTACACATTTTACTGGTGCCAACTGATGGGAAGATTATTCTTGAATGACGAGTGTCCCTCTACCCCAGAGTTTTCCAAACTGTGTGTCACAACATATTAATGTGTTGGCTGCAGTGTGTGTGTTGGGTGAATGTACTCATGAATGACGAAAATGTTGGAAATGTGTGTTATTATCTTGCAAAATGTGTATTCTTAAAAAACATAAATGAAAAGTTTTCATGCGACATGTTGTGTCCCCATACATTTTGTTATTACAGTTTATGTATGTCTTTGCATCTCTTGTATGTGTTTGCATCTCTTGTGTGTCACAAGTTGATAAATGTCTAAAAAGGGTGTCACCAACATGAAATATCAGGAAAGCTCTACCAATATGGTATTGGCTCTTGCATGCATTTGTCCAGTAAGAATTAGAGGTGTGTGCAGTACTCGTTTCTCCTGTTTTTTTCATTCTTTCATTTTGGGAAGGAGCACGAAATGGGAACACCCTCCCCCCCCCCAAACAAAAATTAGCTCGAAACAAAAGAAAGAAGGAATGGGTACCATTTCTTTGCCTGCTTTTCATGAGCACAGTTTAATCTTTTTTATTAATCCCCTAGCAAACACAAAGTAAACCCTCATTTACTCTCCTCTTCCAGGACATCATCACTCTTCCTTATCAGGAAGTGGGAAGGCTCCTTAAAATGCCTTGGAGAGTGTGWGGCAACCAAGGCCCTCTCCTCCTCRGCTCTTGGAGCTGCCATCTTGGGTCGTTGGTCGTGGTGCTGCTGCTACCTAGCTGGGCAGCTTCTTCTCCTCCTCCTCCTCTAGAGTAAGAGGTGCGAAGGAGGAAGAGGAAGGGGGCTGGAGGKGCCTCCCTTGCATGAGAGATGGAGGAGAAGGAGAGGAAGGCAACCAGTCAGGCAGCAGCAGTAGCCTAAGAGACGCAAAGGAGAAAGATGGGGGGGGGGGGTGGAGGCACCTTCCTTGCATGAGAGATGGAGAAGGAGAGGAAGGCACCCAGCCAGGCAGCAGCAACAGCAAGCAAGGATCCAAAGTGGCAGCTCCAAGGCAAACCATGCCATTGCCAAAAGTGATGCATGCCTTTGTCCAGTAAGAATTGCCACCAGTTAAAGAAGAAGTGAAATAGTGGGGGCTGGTCACTGGGTGTGTGTGATGTGTGGAACATGTTTGACACTTGGCAGGAAGGAATGGTGCCCTGCCCTGCCTCCCTCCTGCTGCTGGTCCTGGAGAACTTAGAGGCAGGGGCCAGCGGGGGGGGGGGGGGGGGGGGGGGGGATGATTTTATTTATAGAAAGGAAAAAAATCCCTAAAAATCGGGGGTGATCCAAACGTTATAAAAATTGGTGGGTTAAAAGTGGTAGATTTGCTCTCCACATGTGGCCAATGGGTCAAAAAAAATTGTCTGTTCTTATCAGTTTAATATCTGATATGTTCTCTATTTGAGAACTTTATATTAAATGGGTTTTTGGAAATAAAAATTTTATTAAAAAAATTGTTCTTTAGGATGCAGAACAAAAACACTTGTTTGGAAATGCACCTGTTTTTTGGAGGTGTGCGAAAACAAAAATGAGGGCTTACGAATGAAACAAACAGAAACTGATAGTGATTCAATACAAATGCGCAAGCCTAATAAGACTCCTTCCAGGTAGCTATCTCACTTGTGATTCTGAGAAGGGAAAATGAAAGTAGTGAACCCAAGTATGTTTTACCCAAATATTTTTGGGGGGATGGAGTGGCAGAAAAGTAACTTCTTCTCCTAAAGGTTAGTGTTCATGTCAAATTCTGTGAACATTATTGTCAAAAGCATTAATGGCCAGAATCACTGGGTTGCTGTGAATGTTTTGAGCTGTATGGCCATGTTCCAGTAGCATTCTCTTCTAATGTTTCGCCTGCATCTGCGGCTGAACCTCTGAAGATGCCAGCCACAAATGCAGACAAAACATTATGAGAATGCTCCCAGAACATGGCTATACAGCCCAAAAAACTCACAGCAACCCACTTCATGAAAATTACCTTTTAAAAACTCTTCTGCAACATATCTAGTTGATTTTTCCTTTTTCTCTCTCCATAGTGAAATACTTTCCATTACCACTCTACTTTTGTCCTGCTGGCATGCTTCTCTCTGTGTTTTGCTCTGTCATCTTCATACACACACATCATAATGACTACTACCACCTCTGTTACAAATAAACACAGCTCAATTTACCCATCTCTCCTGCTCCAGCAAGGCTATTACTAATATTCTTTGATGGGACAATAGCAGTTGGCTTATTACCCATTCATTTTCCTGTGTCTGTAACCTTGGCCAATGCAGAATCCTGGGGGGAAAGTGGAAAATGAGTGTTTTGTTAGAGGCCGCACTGCATAGACCTGAGATAATGCTGCTGGTTTTGCCTTCGTGTTAATTTTCTGAATCCCAGCACCTCATTGTGCTCAGAATTACATGCAAAGAATAAAAGAAGACAGGAGGTCCTGATATACTCATCTATGTGAAAGTAGAGCTTGAAATTACACTTCAGCCCCATCTACACTGCCATATAATGAAGTTTAAGACTGCATTATAAGGTCAGTGTAAACTCGTATAATGCAGTTCAGTGCAGTTAAACTACTCTGTATGAGCATATAGTCATATAATGCAATTTGAAAGTGCATCATAGGGTAGCTGAGGCTGTTAAGAGGCTTAAAAGGCGAGTCAATGGGTCCTAGAGCAAATCAGGCTTGAACGCTCCCTAGAAGACAAAGAAACAAAACTGAGATTATTGTACAGATCATGAAAAGACATGACTCACTAGAAAAGGAATAGAGGAAAAGAGGAAGACCACATCACAGGTGGATGGACTCCATCAAAGAAGCCACAGCTTTGAGTCTGCAGGACTTGGGTAGAGCTTGATGAAGTAACTTGGAGGTCTCGCTTTCCTAGAGTCACAATAATAATAATAATAATAATTATTATTATTATTATTATTATTGGAGCCCCCGGTGGCGCAGTGGGTTAAAGCACTGAGCTGCTGAGCTTGTTGATCGAAAGGTCGCAGGTTCGATTCCGGGGAGCGGCGTAAGCTTCTGCTGTCAGCCCTAGCTTCTGCCAACCTAGCAGTTCGAAAACATGCAAATGTGAGTAGATCAATAGGTACCGCTCCGGCGGGAAGGTAACGGCGCTCCATGCAGTCATGCCGGCCACATGACCTTGGAGGTGTCTACGGACAACGCTGGCTCTTCGGCTTAGAAATGGAGATGAGCACCACACCCCAGAGTCAGACATGACTGGACTTAATGTCAGGGGACTACCTTTACCTTACCTATATAAGTATTATTTTATTTTATACTCCGCCAACCATCTCCCCAAAGGGACTCACGGCAGCTTACAAGCGACAAGCCCAAAAATTACAAGTAGAACACAACCAATTAAAAACATCAGATAAAATATAAAAACAATCACAATTGTAAACAATATCAAAACAATATGCCTGAGAAAGAACATAGCAGAGCTTCAGGCTCCATGAGTGAAATACATCCTGAAGGGAGTGCAAGGAAAGTGCAACAATCAAGTAGACAGGGCTGGGAATAGTGTCCTCAAAAGTGTTGAGGTGGACAATAAGAGGGCCGAACGTAAACTGCTGAACTTAAAGTAGGGACAGGGAAAATAACTGGTGGACTGCTTAATCAAAATTACACCGGAACATCCAGGCTTTCAGTTGTCTCTAGAAAGAGGACAAAGTAGGAGCTGTCTGATCTCCCTAGGAAGGGAGTTCCAGAGCTGGGGGGCCACCACCGAGAAGGCCCTCTCCCTCGTCCCCACCAACCAAACATTGAAATTGATGTGACAGAAGTTAACAACTTCCTTGGCATGTTGTTTTCTTTGTTGCTGGCTTCCTGATTGAGCATCTTTACAGCTTCTATCCTTCCAAAGGTTAAAAAAGCAAGTGTTTTCTGCTGCCCTGGAGACTCGGATGCAGAACAATGACTTCAACTACAGGAAAGGAGATTCCACCTGAACATTAGGAAGAACTTCCTAACTGTGAGAGCTGTTCAGCAGTGGAACTCTCTTCCCCGGAGTGAGCTGAAAGCTGCTTCTTTTGAGGCTTTTAATCAGAGGCTGAATGGCCATCTGTCGGGGGTGCTTTGAATTTTCCTGCTTCTTGGCTGGGGTTGGACTGTATGGCCCACAAGGTCTCTTCTAACTCTTATGGTTCTATGATTCCATGAACTGCTGTGGTATTGAGGTGCAATTTATACTTTGAGGAAATCTTAGTAATTATACCTTAAGCAAATGTATATTATGGGCGAATCCAGTCTGTAACTAGCTGTCATAACCAGCTTTACCTCCAGCTAAACCTGCAGAATCATGTTTCCCTCTTGTCCGTCTTGAAACAGAAATGTCGGCTTCGTTGTTGATGGTTTTAAGGGCAGTGATAGCTCTGTCAAGCCACTTCTGCAAACTGTAATCTGTTCTCTCCTTAGCCACAGGCATTAACATGAGGTTTCAACAACTACAAAGAACTGCAAAGAAAATGAAATGTCACTGATGTAATTTATCAAGTAAACTATCAATCACAGAAGCACTAATGAACTGTTGTAACAAGAAGTAATTCAAACTTAGTAGAACACCCCAGACAATGATATTGTAAAGAGAGAAAGGCTTTTTAAAAGACCATAAGGCCTAAATGACTAAGAATTATTTGGAAGAAAATGGTTTGCTTAGAAATGAAAAATGTATGAATTTCCACCTGTCGCGGAATGAAAATCATGCATAGTTCATGTCTTTACCAATCCACACACTGTCATGCAAGATAAAAGATATGCCACACAGATGATCAGTAAAGACTAGGGTGTTTACTCTTTATTACTTTACTTACTTAGGTGATCCCTCGTAGTCCGAGGATGATGGTCCTCCAAGTTCGGTGTCCTGGGGGTGGGTTCGTAGGTGGCTGTGGAGCCCTATTCTTGACCTGCTTCTTCTCCAACAGTGAGGGCATTGGTTTCCAGGTGGGAGGCAGTCTCGGTCGGGGTTGGCTTGGCGCGCCTTCCTCTTTATTACACAGAGCAACACATATACAGTCATGTGAACAGTTGTATTGACTCACACAATGTCTTTTTAGAGAGATTAAAATGGCCTTCAGGTGTCCATGTGAGGAATCTTCCTCCAGCAGCTCAGAAGCAGAAAATATAATACTAACTTGTATTGACAAGCTCCTGCACAAAAAACCAAAACATGTAACTGTTGCCAAAACTCCCAGGCTCAGCTACCTTCTAGGCATGGCCTGACCAATCAGCTTCGTGTTTTGCATTTTTCAGTTAACACACTCAGCAACTAATTTTTACATGCTCCAACACTACCATCCCATTTCATCAGGGATAGTTCTGATTGTTGTTTTAAGAAGCTTTTAAAATGTTCCGGTTTCTTGCTTTTTCTCCCATTTTCCCTTTTATCTGCAGCTTTGTTGCAAACAGAATTCCAAGTGGAAAAGTAGTTTGCACTCAATACATTCAGGCAGAGGAAAGGAGAAAGTGGAATTTTGCTCTTCCCTTCAGATTCAGGCAAAAGTAAACTGTTCCAGTTTCTCTTTAGCTTATTACTAATGTTAGCAATTTTGTCCAAACTGAGATGTTGCAGGGCCATGTTTCCTATGGTGCATCCACATTGCAAAATTAATGCAGTTTGACATTACTAACTTCTATGGTTTGGTGCTGTGGAATTACAACCTCTAAGGATTCCAGAATATTGAACCATGGTGGTTAAAATGGTGTCGAACTGAATTAATTCTACAGTGTAGCTGCACCCCTACTTGTTTGAGGGTGTCTTTCGAGTGATTTCAAGTTAAATATGTATAAAAAATTCTGAGTCATGTTCCAAAACATCTTGATGTGCTCTAGTACTTACTTAGGTGATCCCTTATTGTCCGAATAAGATTGTCCTCCAAGTTCAGTGTCCTGGCGGTGGGTCCGCAGGTGACTGTGGAGCCCTATTCTTGATCTGCATGTTCTCCCGCAGTGAGGGCATCAGTTTCCAGGTGGAATGTGGTCCTGGTCGTGGTTGGTTTGATGCACCTTCCTCTTGGCACATTTCTCTCTTTCGCCCTCCATTCGTGCCTCTTCAAATTCTACAGCACTGCTGGTCACAGCTGACCTCCAGCTAGAGTGCTCAAGGTCCAGAGCTTCCAAGTTCTCGGTGTCTATGCCAGAGTTTTTAAGGTTGGCTTGGAGCCCATCTTTAAATCGCTTTTCCTATCCTCCAACATTCAGTTTCCCATTCTTGAGTTCAGAGTAGAGCAACTGCTTTGAGAGATGGTGATCAGGCTTTTGGACAATGTGGCTGGTCTAGCAAAGTTCATGGCGGAGGACCATCACTTCAGTGCTGGTGGTCTTTGCTTCTTCCATGCTATAGTAATATAACAGCCAGAGAATCAGAATAAGATACAAAGAACGAGCATGATATGTTTGTTTGTATTCATGTCATAATCATTTAATGCTCAATTTCTGCCACTTCATCTTTGTATAAGAATTCTATAATAAGTAGGCTTATTTGCTTGCTCTGTATGAAACATTGAGCTATCAAGGCAGACTCCATCGAGCATTGCATCATTAAATCAAAGTTGAGTTCAATTCACTCTTCATAAACCATAAACAGTTTTTTAAAATTACCCTTGCTATATTGTACGTTAAAGACATTATAATTCAATACTAATCTTTGCAGATAATGGGCAGTCCAAAGTCTAAGAATAAATGGAGCTTCTCAAAGTTTACTGCAGATTGCAGTATTTTACAAAATGTTCAGGAGATTAGCACCACCTGGTGGTAGAAATGATTTATTATTTTTCTGTGCCTTAAAATCATCAGAGAGGATTAAGTACTCAAAACAGGTCAATTCTGGGGTTCATATTATCTTGATGTATCAGAATTTAGCAAATTACTAATTTTTAATATTTTATATATGTTCTGAATGTTGCCTTGTAGATCTTTTTAAAATGGAAAATCAGGGTAATTAATGAAAATAATGCAGAGGTGTCCTTTTCCAGCTCTGCTTTTCTCCCACAATGAAATGAATAGAGTCAGAAAAATTACTTTTCATATTTCAGTTCTCAGGATCAACTAGCCAGCATGACTACTTCTATCTCCTGTGTGATACCAATTCTATAATAACTCGCAAATTTGGTCTAAACTTACAACCTCTGAGGATGCTTGCCATAGATGCAGGCGAAACGTCAGGAGAGAATGCCTCTAGAACATGGCCATACAGCCCGAAAAAACCTACAACTGTTGGTCTAAACTTATTGTCAGCATTGCAGTTGACTTTTATGAGAATACTCTTAGCTAAAGATGTGTAAAAATCACATAAGAGGCAACGGGTTAAACCACTGAGCTGCTGAACTGACTGACTGAAAGGTTGGCAGTTCAAATCCTGGGAGCTGGGTGAGCTCCCACTCTTAGCTCGTTTCTGCCAACCTAGCAGATCAAAAACCTATGAATGTGAGTAGATCACTAGGTACCGCTTCTGCAGGAAGGTAATGGCGCTCCATGCAGTCAAGCTGGCCACATTACTTTGGAGGTGTCTACGTACAATGCCGGCTCTTCAGTTTAGAAATGGAGATGAGCACACACACACCCCACAGTCAGACACAACTAGACTTAATATCAAGGGAAGCCTTTACTTTAGCTAAAGAATGCTATCCTTGATGTTATATTGTTTATTACTGGTATTCAATTTTAATTGGTAAGACCTATATGCCAATTGTTTTGTGTAATACCTTTATAATGTTTTGTATTGTTGTCCCTTATATTATTTTGTATTGTTGCCTTTCTAAATATTGTATTTATTTGTCTGAATACGAATGACCAAGGCATCAATACACAAACAGACTAGAGTTGTAGTCCAAACAGTAGCTTTTCCCATCCCTAGGTTGTTTTCCGTTTGTGGTGAAGGAGTTCTTCAATGCTGGCTCTTCAGCTTAGAAATGGAGATGAGCACCACCCCCCACAGTCAGACACAACTAGACTTAATGTCAGGGGAAACCTTTACTTTAGCTAAAGAATGCTATCCTTGATGTTATATTGTTTATTAATGGTATTCAATTTAAATCGGTAAGACCTGTATGCCAATTGCTTTGTGTAATACCTTTATAATGTTTTGTATTGTTGTCTCTTATATTGTTTTATATTGTTGCCTTTCTAAATATTGTATTTATTTGTCTGAATACGAATGACCTATGATCTAGGCATCAATACACAAACGGACTAGAGTTGTTGTCCAAACAGTAGCTTTTCCCATCCCTAGGTTGTTTTCCGTTTGTGGTGAAGGAGTTCTTTGGTTATATCTGGTTATATCACTGGTTTAATTTGATTTCTGTGTCTGTTCCAGATCAACTTTATCTTTTTGTTCAATATTGTCAGAATCCTGATGACAAAGCTTCGGGCCTCCACCACTTCAGAAACCATTCAGTACAGGTATCTATCAATTTAAGTCAGGGGACAGACAGATGGGAGGGTATTTTTGTCAATCACTAATCTCTGCCCGGCCTTTTAAATTGCCTTGAACAGGCAGGATTACTTTTAATATATATGTGTTATGGCAACAATTTTTATGCTTATATTGTTTTGTTAATTTTATGTTTATGTTGTTTACTTTGTATGTATTGATATTACTTGGAAACTGCTCTGAGTCCCCTCGAGGAGATAGAGCGGTATATAAATAAAATCTATTATTATTATTATTATTATTATTATTATTATTATTAATAATAATAATAATAATCTGTTGGACTTTCTGAGAATCACTGAGACAGAAAATTATCCCCTGTGCCTTGTACAATTTCTGATCATTCAATTTCTGTCTGCCATAGTTCACCCTTGGACCCCCACTAGGTCTTTCCACTTCCTTTTGTTATATGTGAAGAGTTAACCGAATCCCTTACTAAGTGGTAATGAATATGATTATCTGGGTTGTAACTTGCTGTGCTCTTTTTCCAGAAAAGCTGTGAAGGCCACCCTTGTTCTCCTGCCTTTACTGGGCATTACCTACATGCTTTTCTTCGTCAACCCGGGAGAAGATGAAATATCCCGGATCGTCTTCATTTATTTCAACTCTCTCTTGGAGTCCTTCCAGGTATGGACAAAGTCACAGAGATATGTGATTTTGGTGTATGCATGTGTATATAAGCTTCATGCCCAATCTTCTGATATTTCTTACATGGATTCAAATTTAATTATGTATTTTAAATATAGTCTTTCATTCCAAATTGTTGGGTGTGTTGGACAAAGGATTTTTAGAATGAAAGGCGTGAAACAGTGATACTTCACATCACTTCAGAAAAACTAGAGATCATAAGTACAGTCCTTACACAAAAGGTGAATATAAATAAATAATGCTAAGTTTGAATATGTTCCGAGTGCTGCTGATTAAACTCTATCAGAAAGCACAACAGACCAGCTCAAATGCATACTCTCCTGAATTACACATAGACATGCAAGATGGCCTTTGGCTAGCTCTGCAGCAGTAGTTCTCAACTTTCCTAATGCCACAACCCCTTAATACAGTTCCTCTTGTTATGGTGACCCCCAACCATAAAATTGTTTTAGTTGCTACTTCATAACTGTAAGATTGCTACTGTTATTAATTATAAATATCTCATAGGCAGGATGTATTTTCATTCACTGGACCAAATTTGGCACAAATACCTGATATGTCCAAATTTGAATACTGGTGGGGTTGGGGGAGGGGGATTAATTTTGTTATTTGGGAGTTGTGGTTGCTGGGATTTATAGTTCACCTACAATTAAAGAGCATTCTGAACTCCACCAATGATGGAATTGAACCAAACTTGGCACACAGAACTCCTATGACCAACAGAAAATAATGGAAAGGTTTGGTGGGTATTTACCTTGAGTTTTGGAGTTGTAGTTCACCTACATCCAGAGAGTCGGATGGCTCTGAACCAAACTTGACATGAATACTCAATATGCCCAAATGTGAGCATTGGTGGAGTTTGGGGAAAATAGACCTTGACATTTGGGAGTTGTAGTTGCTGGGATTTATAGTTCACCTACAATCAAAATGCATTCTGAACCCCTCCAATGAATTGGGCCAAACTTTCTTCACAGAACTCCCATGACCAACATAAAATACTGTGTTTTCTGATGGTCTTTGGCAACACCGCTGACACCCTCCAGGGATCCTGATCCCCAGATCGAGAAATGCTGCTCTACAGGATCAAACATTTTGTCCTCTCCTATCCTCTCCCTCGTTGAGTTGAGAACAAACCGCTTTTGCAAAAGAATTCATTGCAAGTAACTTGCTATTTGTAATTAGTAACTTTCAAGCTCTCTAAAGGGTGTCAGAGATCAAAGGCCTGCAAATCAAAGGCTGAAATTCCAGCATGTGTCTTGATAAAAACCAAATCAGTAAATCGATGCAATCTGTAAGTAATGTATGTCAAAAGGCTAAGCCTGTTCTTCCCTTTCATAAAAACTTTTGGCTGATGTTTGATTCTTTTCTCCCATCAGGGCTTTTTCGTCTCTGTCTTCTACTGCTTCCTGAACAGTGAGGTGAGCTGGGGTTAGAAATGGGAATGAGAACATGCTTTAGCAACCTATTTCCCCAAATTTGTTAACATTTTCAAATATTCAAAAATTATGATTTAATCATTTAATGCCAACACTGGGAGGAAATACAGTAAAAAGATGGGGCAGGTAATGCTGGAAGTTGCAATCCACCAATATGTAGTTCTACAGAAATTTAAAGCACTCCAAATGATATTTTTGTTATCCCAGAAATTTGCTTGAAATGGCTGCAGTTTTTTCCACCCTTCATTTTTTTAAAAAGTCTGAGTTAGATCAGATTTGGAAGGTCTTGGGGGGCATATGTACTTCTATTATTGAAGTTCATGATGGGAGGTTTTGCCATTTCTCCAATGATGTGTATCACATCATGATACAGGCTGCAGTGTTTGCTCTTCTGGGTGGTTTCAAGACAGATGGTGGGAAAGGTAAAAGCAACTCTTTGATCCTCTTCTCTTTTTTCTCCTTTTATGTTTTTCTCAGAATTTAAAAAATAAGTAAAACGGTGAAATAGATTGTCAAGTCACATAATTTTCTTTTGTTATTTTTGTGGTAGCTATTTTAGTGTGTTTTTATAATTTAATGATACAACAATTAGTAATATTATTCCAATAAATGCAACAAATCATGTTTTTTTAATTTCCTCAATAAATCGACTAGCAACTTGAAGTCCAAAAAGAGGTCATTTGTCTCTTCCAAAAGCTTCTAATAAATTGCAGCATACACCCACATTGTTTAATGTTAGTTGCAGGAAGGGAAGTTGATGGCATTTTTGGAAGTTTATGTAGTAGAGGGCCCGGGGACAGAAAATTGCATAGTGGGGCCCGTTGTTGTAAAATAGTGGTTCCCAACTTTTTTTTTTGACTAGGGACCATCTGACCAGGGACTACTTGACCAGGGACCACTTTGACCTGGGAACACTCTCCAACATATGTACCAAAAGGGTTACGAATGTTTTTGGTCAACTTTATTTTTGGTTTGGGGTGCTGATTCAGAAAATTGCATTGGATAGACCATAGCAGCTCTAGCTTCTGATACAGAACATATGCCATGGTCAGTGACAGGGAAAGAGTGGCAGATGGTGTGAAAGGAATGGAAAGACTAATAGAAATATACTGTGGTTGAGTAAGGAGGGAGGGAAGAATATAGAAAGATTTGGAAGGTAAATATTAAAGAAAAGGAAGTACTATTATTACGATTATGATTATAAAATTCAATATTTTTTAAACGAGTGGAAATAAAATAAATAAAAACATAAAGAGGAGGCTCGCGGACCAGATTTTTGTCCTTGCGGCCCATTGGTGGTCCACTGCCCAAAGGTTAAGAACCACTGTTGTAAAATCTTGATCTGTAGTGATGGCTACCAACCTGAAGAGTCTTTAAAAGAGAACCGCTATAATTATGGAGAAAAACCTAGTGGTGACAAATATGACGTGTTATTACAGGTAGTATTCTGTTAGGCAGATTTCCGAGGAGTACAAGCAGTATTGCTCAAGTTGTAGGCTTTACTGGGGAAACTAGTTGGTCACTGTTGGACCAGGAAACTGGACTTGATAGGCCTTTGGTTTGATCCAGGAGGGATCCTCTTACCATCCTAAATCTTTATAAAATGTGGCACATCTTTTAATGAAGGGAATGTATAGCTGATCCCATTTAGTGTAATTTGCGGTATGTTTCCCTAGGTCCGCTCAGCGGTACGGAAGAGATGGCACCGGTGGCAGGACAAACACTCCATCCGTGCCAGAGTGGCAAGGGCCATGTCCATCCCCACATCCCCAACACGCGTCAGTTTCCATAGCATCAAACAGTCCTCCGCTCTCTGAGGATGCTCCATACCATGAAGCTGGTGTTTTGCTACACTTGGGATGAAGAGGCTTCGCAGCCTCAAGGACAAGACTTGACCCTTCAGAGTTCCAGCTGAGAAAAGCCCTTGTTGCCCTCAGTTGGCTGGCCTCTTATGAGACTGATTAGACTGGAAGGAAGGCTTTGTGTGTATCCATGATTGCAAATCTTGGCAGGATCCAGTGGTTCGGAAATTCAAGAGTGATGCCCACAAAGCCCATTCTGAAAAAGTGTGGTTTATTTAATTTCCCCGTGCCATCTAGATCTCTTTTTGCTCTGATTGCTTACAGACACCAGAGAGAATTATCATCTCATAAGTGTTATAGAAAAAAAAAAAAAACAAAGGGACAGAGGATTCACTGTCAAATGTACAAAATCCTGACAATGTCAGCTCATCATCTCACAAAGCATTGTTAAACAATAACCACTGGATGAAACAAAACCAAAGGAAGTGGTTTTTGTCTTACGGCAGCAAGATTAACCCTGGGAACTTTCCCTCCTAAGAAACTGAAGTGGATATTACTTTTCAAAGGATTTCATGAATTCATGAGATGGGTGTGACTGATATTTGACAAAAGCACAAACTCTTCCATATTCAGGACCACAATAACTACCTAATACAGGGGATTCGAATAATTTAGTGCATATTGTTATTGACTGCTGGTGAACTTCCATACATCTTTGGACTTTATGTGATTGGGATGCCGAGAAGGAGCCAGCAATGCTGTTCTAGTGTTCTTCCTTGTGCACTTCAACAGTAGAAGCTGCCAAGACATTGACTGAAAGACCAGTGGACCCTGCTCCTGAAAGTCAGCCTACCAACTTGTTTCACAAAGTATGCCACAGTTATTTGGATCTCACCAAATTCCTTCCCCTGGAAAATCACCTTGAATTCGGAAGCGGAATGGGGTGTACATTAAGATATAAATCTTTACTTTTTCCATTTTTGCAAGTAAAAATTAAATATGAAACAGCATTACACATTTTTGTGAATTTTAGATTATTTTTTCACATTTCAGGGCCTTTTTTTTGCAAAAAAAAATCATTTGTGTAAAAAGGTTTCTTGCAAAAATGTTTGCAGCAGGGAACAATGTATTTTGCACCAAAAGTATTGTTTTTCATACAAATGATTTTTTCACAAAATCCCAAAATGCATGTTGGGCCATTTTGACAAGATGTCTCAATGTGCTGAGACAATGATGGGAAAATCTGTGACTCTTCTTCACACCCCTACAATGACTGCATTTGTCTGGGTATCTTTTAATAAAGGTCAACACTACTCTCCATCTCCATTTCTGCTTTTCTGTTTATTAGAAATCATATAGAACATTTAATCTAAGTCATAGATCTAATAAAGGGAATGCTATGTGTGTATTTATAAGTAAAAATCACATAAGAGTACTTTTTTGGATTGCAGTTTCCAACATCTCTTGGGTAACATGACTAGGGACTGTGGTGGTTTGGAGTTGTAGGAACTGTAGTAGGGGCTCCAGAAAAGTAACTTTTCTAAGCTTTATGATACATTTATAGAAAACAACTTCAGGCACAAAATCTTTGCTTTTGTAGGGTTTTTTTTTTCACCTACAGGAAGTTTAAATTAGACTACCAAGTTAGATTTGAAAGTTATGAACAATTCCTGACAAAATTGCAGAAGAAAGCAAGGAATTTAAGAGTTCAAGAGGCAATAAAATCCAGGGGATGGAAGTGAAATCACTTAATGTTTGCCTTTTTATTACAGTCTGAATATAACTCTTGTAGCCATGCTCATCCTCAGTCTAATGTTACTTCCCTCTGTGCCTATTTTAAAAATGCATGTAAACCAGATAAAAAGTGGAAAACCAGCACCAGACCTCACAACCTCTGAGGATGCCTGCCATAGATGGAGGTGAAATGTCAGGAGAAAATGCTTCTGGAACATGTCCATGGAGCCCAGAAAACACACAACAACCCAGTGATTCCAGCCATGAAAGCCTTCAACAATACACAGCACCAGAAGGGCTGTATGCAATTGTAATGGCAGCTATGATAACCCTGATTATAAACCTTTTATATGTTCAAACACTGCCAGTTGGAAGTGAATGCATTTAAACTGAACAAAATCGCCCCTTGCCAAACACAAAATGAGTAGTATGACATTAATATTCTGTGTTCTGAAACGTGAAATATCTTTTTCATGAGCAGGGAATTGCAAAATTATTCTATTTTGATTCACTTAAATATACAAATTTGGATTCAATTTTTTTCTACAATAATTAAAGAAACTCCACACTAAAGTTTGATAAAACAAAGTTCTACTGTATTAATTCTAAATCAAATATGACCCTTCCCCTCTACTCTAGAACCTGGGCTGAACCACAGGCTGTGATGGTCCATCCCTCAGATCCCACCCTCTAATGACAGAACACCAGTCCAAAAGGTACCAAGAATGTACAAGTAACTGGGACAATAACACTGGCTTGGTAAACAACCATACAGTTGGGAACAACTCTTGAGACTAGCAAGTCAGATCCATTCTCGCAGCTGGTTACCAAGAACAGAAGAGGCAGAAACCAGACACCCTCCCACGTTTTAAGTTCCGGTTCTCAGTTCCTGCCAAGGCAGGCACCTCCTGCTTCTCCTTCTCTGTCTTGTTTTTCTCAGGAGCTGATAGTAAAAGATACCCTATTGCCCCTTTAATGAAGGCACTGACCATCTTGTTCCAGTTCAGCAAGCAGCAACATTTGAATCCTGAAACAGCTTTGTTACCAGACTGCTCACAAAAATCAAGCTGCCATCTTTTCTTTCTTCAGATTATGTCTTCCACACAACTTTGATATGAGACTTTGGACTGGTGATAAACTTACTTGAGGGACACACATAAAACCCACCCATCCTCAATAAACGCAACACCTATGATAGGACACAGGATCAACAACAGTAGCAAGTGTGCCATTTTCTCTCCAGGAGTGGGTACTAAGTGCTTGGAGGAAAGCCTACTTTGAGCTTCTCTTCCCACAAAAAGTAACCAAGGCAGTCAAAGATATGTTGACAGCCAACAAAATCAAGGGGGAAAGTGTTTTGTTTTAAGCTAACAGATGTGGAAGGGTAGGGAGAGAAGTGACCATGTGTTAGATAAGAGAACACATTGTGTGCATGTCTCAAAAACACATTTCCTTGTATTCACAATTGTGGTTTGGAAACTGTACAGTACTTGCCTGGGTGGTTTCCCCTTCCCATCTGCAAAGGCAGGCTACCCTGACTCTCAGTCACACTGTTTGGTACTCATAGACCTCAACTTCTGCTCCTCACCTCACCCATACACTGGTGAGTGTATGCAGAGCCTAGCAGGAGGCCATGAAGGGGAAGAAAAAAACAGGCTTCAGAAGTCAGCCAAATCCATGTCTCAATACCCACTCCCATGCTCTGTCTTAACCTGGTCTATCCCCTCACCGTGTTTGACCAGAAACTGGATCTCATCCCTGAAACAGAGATTCAGTTGAGATGCCCATTGGTAATGATGAAAGGTAGGAATACGGGTATTCTACCATGTGATCAAAGAGAACTGGAGCAGAAGGGAAGACGGGCAGGTGAGGACACAGTCCAGGGCAGACTCAGTGTTGCAGCACCCCCAGGTCCCCGTGATGCTGAGAAGACAGTCGCTGGCGGACATGACCCTGAAGTGAGTGTGTTAGTGTGAGTACGTGACTCCAGAGCATCAGCCACTACCCTGGGTTCATTCTGTTGATGTTCAAGAAGGGACATGGTGTCTGTGGCCAGGAAACGGGCATTCTGGTGGCGAGAGGTGGCAGCAGCAGGAGGTACACTGCCGTGGGTACGCTGGTGGCGTTTCAGATGAGCCCGGCGAGCAAAGCGCTTTCCACAGGCCGTGCAGGGGTAGGGGCGCTCCCCAGTGTGGGCCCGCTGGTGGATGAGTAGCTCGGAGCGCTGCAGAAAGCGCTTGGCACAAACGGAACAGGCATGCGGGCGCTCCCCACGGTGCATGCGCCGGTGCTTGCTGAGGTTGGAGCTGACACTGAAGCGGCGGCCACACTCCGTGCACACATAAGGCTGCTCCCCAGAATGGGAGCGCACATGAATAGTGAGATCCGAGCGCTGCAGGAAGCGTTTGCCACACTCCACACAGCCATAAGGACGCTCCCCTGAGTGCAGCCGCCGGTGCTTGCTGAGGGCAGAACGCTGGGTGAACCGCCTCCCACACTCCCCACAAGAATAGGGCCGGTCAGGTTCTGGGGGTGGGGAGGGAGGGGGAGGAGGTGTTGCAAGGCCCCCACCACATTCCGCGCAGCGGCGTGACCTCCGGTGGCGCTCCAGGTGGCAACCCCAACGGAACCGTCGCCCGCAATCATGGCACTGATGAGGTTTTTCTGCCACATGGCGCTGCTGATGCCGCTCTAGGTTGGCAAGGATTCGAAATCGTTTTCCACACTCCTCACAGGCGTGGGGCTTTCGGGACTGAGTCAAAATTGTGTTCTCTGGAAGAGTTTGAGTATCCAATAGCCCTATGGAATTCAGAGGCAAAACAAGAGAAGAGGTTGAGGCAGAGTCCAGGGAAGAAGCCAAAGCGGAATTTGGAGGAGAACTAGACCTAACTGGGGGGACCATGATGGTTCTTCTGCATGGCCCACAGCGGTGGGGTTTCTCTCCTGCAGCTGTGCGCCGTCGTCTCGGTGTAAAGCGTGGTTTCTGCCACCCAGAGAAGAACTGGCTTCTTTCACCAAAAGCTGGCCAAACTCTCCCACTTTCCTGGGAGTCCCGACTGATGCTGTGGAGGGGATTGCAGCCAATGCTCTCCCTTGGCTGAAGGCCTGCTCCCCATCTTGTTCCCAAAAGACTTTGCTGATGGGCAATGCTGTTCTTACACCCACTAGCATCTCCATGAACCATTTTCCCTGAAATTGATTGCTTCTGCCCTGCCACCAATCCTGGACACAAGAGAGGCACTTGCAGCTCATTAGCTGGTGGCTTCCGAGATGTGATGGTAGGTCCTTCCACTAGTTCAGCCTGAAGTTCCTGTGAGTTCACCCCACCTGTGCCATCACCTGCTGAAAGAGAAGTGGAGATAAGTCCTTAGGAACAAGGATTCATCCTATGCTGGATAGAGTATTCAGAACACAGAACGGGGTTATACCATTTCTGAAATCTCATAGCATAGCAAGATTAGCCCTAGGCCCTACCCTGGCCATTAGTTAGGTCCCCACTCTGCGCCCTACTCATTTCCCCTGCCCTTTGCTACCTCATTGTACTAGCCCTGGTCCAGCCTTATTACAGCAGGCCCTGGAAATGAATAGCCTCACACACTACCCAGGCCATGAGTTAGGGCCCTGTTTTGCACTTTATCCACTTCCCCAGCCCTCTTATAGCTGTGCAGCAGGCCTTGGAAACAATCGCTTCAGGTCCCACCTTGACCATCAGGCAGGGCCATGCTTGCACTTTATCCACTCTCCAGGCCTTAGTCTACTTTGTTATACTAGCCCAGCCCTCTCGTCATCGAGGTCATCTGAAATTCTGACCATTGGAAGCAGAACTTGCCTGATGGAAATTAGTACTGAACTGACTTTTAATTTTAAATATGTATGACTGTTATATAGTATAATGTCCATGTTTTATAATAATTATTTTGTATGTTTTTTGTGTCGGTAATTCTAATGCTTTAACCTATGCCGGAAACCGCCCTGAGACCCATCGGGGAGATAGAGCAGCATAAAAATAAATTATTATTATTATTATTATTATTATTATTATTATTATTATTATTATATGCTGCACTTATCCACATTACTGAATAAGCTTCATTGACATTTCAAGCTGAAAATACAGCCTGGGCACACTCCTGGATTCAGATTCTAGTGCCCAGTTTTCGGTAATGCCTAGGAGTGTATTTGAACAACTAAATTTAGTACACTACCTGCACCCATTACTTCAAAATCCAACTTTGGCATTGGAGACACATGTCTTGATTTGTTCTGGCTGGATTACTGTAATACACTCTATGTCAAATTGCATTTGAAAACCATTTCAGCAGATCCAAAAGGCTGGACCTAGTTACAGGAAACAAGTAACTCCCTGCATGGAGGACATGTTGATTTCTTTATTATCAACACAGTGACAGTCACAGCAATGTCACTTGTGCTTGGCCACATCCCAGTTCAAAGAAAAATGACCTGAAATGCCCCCCCCCCCATGTTAAACAGGAACAAAAAAAGTGTCCTAATGCCAGACAGACAAACAAACAAATGTAGTATCTCAAAAGATTTGTTGGGATACTCTGATTCACATGTTCCTTGATTCAGCTTTCAAAAACTGTACATGGGAAGTGGCTGAAATCTGGATTATTATTTTTTTACCACTGTGCAGGTGACAATAGCCAGACTCCTCTAAGGCCCCTTCCACACGGCTGAATAAAATCCCATATTATCTGCTTTGAACTGGGATATATGGCGGTGTGGACCCAGATAACCCAGTTCAAAGCAGATATTGTGGGATTTTCTGCCTTGATATCCTGGGATATCCTGGGAAGGGCCCTTAGTTACTCAATAGCAGTGTAACCAAGGATTACACAAGAACAAGTGCTTATTCAAACAATACACAAGGAGGTATCTAATACCTTTTTATGGAAAATTTCTCTTTCTTGTGCAATGGTAGCTACACTGCAATATAATGCACTTCCAAATACACATACACACACACAACCACTGACTGGCCATAAGAAGCAGTGAAAGAGATTCCTTCCGCTCTCAGCCACCATCACTCTCCCTCCTAAAATAAGCAAGATGTTGCTAGGCCTGCTCCACAGCATAACTATACCGACACAGCTATATCAGTGTCAAAGAGGTTCTCAACCAAAGACCTATATTTACATATACTTCTGTGTACATTTTGCCTTGAAAAGAGGCTAATAAATGCATCTATGTGGATAAGAGTTAAAACTTTTAAAAATATTAATGCCAAAAATGCAGTATGAGACTTGAGTGAACTGGTCATAGAACTGAGGAATTTCACAATCTCCATATTTAGCTGGGTGTTGCCATGAGATTACAATGTATAGTCACTGACTGTATGATGGAAGGTAACAAAGTGGCAAATCATGATGAGCAAAGGGGACTGATGTAAATCAGGACATTGAATGCTGGAAAGCAACAGGAGTGTGCAACGCACACTAGAAGTGCCTGATGCACATTATAAGCGCCTAATATACATCAGAGGAGCCTGGTGCACATCATCAACAGTGCCCTGATTTGCACCAGGAGTATTTAGTGCAAATCTTCTCAATTCACTAATTCATTGCATTTCTACAGTATGGCTATGGATTTATAAAGTTATAAAATATAGATAATGATGCAGTATTTGTGTGATGCAACACTGATTTATCTTTGCTGTGTACTGTTTTTTCTGCTTCCCAGAGTAACAGACACAAGCCTCACTGCTTCTGCTCACTCTATCAATGCCTTTACCTCCAAGTCGGGGGTTCCTGGTCACCCTTTTACGCCTCCTCACTCTTCCTTGTTGCTCTTGCTCCTTTACCAGTTCCCTCAGCATCTTCTCCACCTGAGCCTTGCCCACCGTCTGCAGGATCACTCCAAGCTGCCTCCGGAAGTCTGGCAGGATCCCTTCCTCACTTGAACCCGCAGTCGCTGCTGCTTGACCTGGCAGAGGCGCTAACTGCCCTTGCTCAGGTTCCATTTCTAACCCTATTAAGAAAAGAGCAAGAAGATAATCACCACAAAATATATGCTAGGCCCAACTGTAAACTGGTATCTGAGCCTATGGTTTTCGGCATGCAGCAATTGTCAGAAATATTAAAAATTAGCTATTTTTTTTAATTACGAAAATGTAAGTCAAGCACTGAAAGGGTTGAATGGATGCAATGACTCAGCAAAAGCTGCAGTTCAATATAAGCAGGTGTGCCTATAGCTTAGTATCCTAAGTCTATGATAGATCTCTCTGGGAAAAGGGCCTCAGTGTGTTAGTAGGCTTCAGTATAAGTAGGCCTCAGTGTTAATTTGCCTCTGTGTATGAGTTGTCAGTCTGAGAGAGCCCTCAGTGTGAGAAGGCCTCAGTAGGAGGAAAGCCTCAGCATGAGGTAGGTCTCAATGTTTGTTGGTGTCAGTTTGAGAAAGCCTGGTGTGAGAAGCTTCAGTGAGAGGAAGTCCCAGGTTGAAGGCCTCGTGCGTAAAGCTACTGAGTGAAACTCAAGTGTGAAGGCTGCTGTGTGTAAAAAGCTACTTTGTGAAGCTCCTGTGTAACTTTGGTGTGAGAAGAGGCTCTGTGAGAGCAAAGCTGTTTATCTACATGAAAAAGAAGCCCAGTGTGGAAGCAAAGAAGGAAATATAAAGAACTTTATTTGTGTTATGGAAACTTGGTTCTTGTAAATAGTATAACAGTATTGTATTGCTATAAAAAACCTCATATGAAGAGATGGCATTGGTCTTTGCGTTTTTGTTCATCCACTTGCCCAACAGTAATCTCCACAAGAAGACAGAGTGACTATTAGCCAGAGTGAAACAAATGCCTCAGCCAGGAGATGCCAATGGCATTGGCAATATGTTGAGAGGCAGACTTGTGCATTTCATGCAGCATGCTCTGCCTTCCCGGTAACCCTGTTGCTTCTAGACAACAGAGCTTTGGTTAACTTATGTTATCCAACTAGAACTCCCCAAATCCCACAGCCAACATGTTCCATGGCCACATGTGCTGAATCACGGTTGGGAGCTGTAGTTCAAAAAGTAATGTTTTCAAACTCTGACTGATAGGTACAGTGGAGGGAAAAGTATTTAGTCAGATACCAATTGTACAAGATGAGAGAGGCATGTAATTGACATCATAGGTAGACCTCAATTATGAGAGACAACATGAAAAAACACATCCCGAAAATCAGATTGTCTGATTTTTAATGAATTTATTTGCAAATTATGGTGGAAAATAAGTATTTGGTCACCTACAAACAAGCAAGATTTCTGGGTCTCACAGACAGGCTCCTCTGTCCTCCACTCATTACCTGTTGTAATGGCACCTATTTGAACTTGTTATCAGTACAAAAGACACTTGTCCACAACCTCAAGCAGTCACACTCCAAACTCCACTATGGTGAAGGCCAAAGAACTGTCAAAGGACACCAGAGACAAAATTGTCACCCTGCACCAGACGGAGAAGACTGAATCTGCAATAGGCAAGCAGCTTGGTGTGAAGAAATCAACTGTGGGAGCAATCATTAGAAAATGGAAGAGATACAAGATAATCTCCCTCGATCTGGGGCTCCACGCAAGATCTCACCCTGTGGGGTCAAAATGATCACAAGAACGATGAACAAAAATCCCAGAACCACACAGGGGAACCTAATGAATGACCTGCAGAGAGCTGGGACCAACATAACAAAGGCTACCATCTGTACCACACTATGCCACCTGAGACTCAGATCCTGCAGTGCCAGACGTGTCCTCCTGCTTAAGCCAATACATGTCTGGGGCCGGCTGAAGCTTGCTAGAGAGCATTTGGATGATCCAGAGGAGTATTCGGAGAATGTCATGTGGTCAGATGAAACCAAAATAGAACTGTTTGGCAGAAACACAACTCGTCATGTTTGGAGGAGAAAGAATGCTGAGTTGCATCCAAAGAACACCACACCTACTATGAAGTATGGGGATGGCAACATCATGCTTTGGAGTTGTTTCTCTGCAAAGGGACCAGGGCGACTGATCCGTATACATGAAAGAATGAATGGGGCCATGCATTGTGAGATTTTGAGTGCAAACCTTCTTCCATCAGCAAGGGTACTGAAGATGAAACGTGGTTGGTCTTTCAGCATGACAATGATCCCAAGCACACCRCCAGGGCAACGAAGGAGTGGCTTCRTAAGAAGCATTTCAAGGTCCTGGAGTGGCCTAGCCGGTCTCCAGATCTCAACCCTATAGAAAACCTTTGGAGGGGGTTGAAAGTCCGTGTTGCCCAGCGACACCCCAAAACATCRCTGCTCTTGAGGAGATCTGCATGGAGGAATGGGCCAACATACCAGCAACAGAAAACGTTTGACCTCTGTCATTGCCAATAAAGGACATATAACAAAGTATTGAGATGAACTTTTGTTATGGATCAAATACTTATTTTCCATCATAATTTGCAAATAAATTYGTTAAAAATCAGACCATGTGATTTTCTGGAAGTGTTTTTTCACTTTGTCTCTCATAGTTGAGGTCTACCTATGATGTCAATTACAGGCCTCTCTCATCTTTTTAAGTGAGAGAACTTGTACAATTGGTACCTGATTAAATACTTTTTCCCCCACTGTAATACCCATCTACAATTTTGTCCTCTGTTTAGGTAGAAAAATGAAGACTAGCACAATTTACGTGAATTGTGACATTCAGATAAAAGCAATCCCAGATTTTTGCCATCAAAAAATGCAAATTAGCATGGTTATATTTGTTAATTCTGTTGTTATTTTCCTGTTATTTCTCAAAAACTGGTTAAAAGATTTTAAGGATCCAGACAGCTGTCCCTTATTTACAACTCTGATCTGTTGTCCTACCTGCTTCCTCACAACTACACTGTACACAAATTACTTCCAAATCTTACTTTCTTAAAGGACAGAAAGGAAAATTAAACTAAGTGCATATCTTCTGACTGTGAGCACGATTCAGCAATCCAATCCAAAGCACACTGTCTCCACATGTGAAGTACCCTTCTTACCAAGGACTTACCAGAAGCTAAACCTCGCCGTCCACGGGTCTCTGTAAAAGCGGTTATTCGGGGCCAGCTGATGGCAATTTCTTCCGCTAAAGAATGACATTAGAAAAGACATCTAAAAAGACAAGCATGTGTTCAGGCACTGATCACACACACAGAGATACATCCGGAGGAAAACAGAGAAGTTATTGTTAAATCAAGGTTGGCCCACTGATTAAACAGAATGAGATGGTTCCATCAAAGGGCAACGAATGAAAGGCTACACAACACAGTTCCAGCTCTATGATTGCCCTTTAATTGCCATGGTTCCATCCTATGAAATCCTGGACTACATGGTTTAAGGATAATATTCCACATGATACAGCTAAGGCAGTTAAAGTGAAATCTAAATATAGTAATGGTTTAGTTTTGAAGAATTCCCAAAGTTGAAAACTGGGTCACTCTCCTCCCTCCAGGCCTCTGCCACTGCAGTCAAGCCTTGCCATTTCTTTCTCTCTCACTTCTTGTCCTCATCACTTCTTCACTGAGCTTTCTCCTCTTCTTTCCTCATGCTAACATTGCTATATTTCCTTCTCCACCCCTTGTGCTGCTGCTGTGTGTTTCCATAACTCTGTGTAAAGTGGGTAGCATCATTTTAACAAAAAGGACCCTGAGATCACAAAGTGAGGTAGGATAGACTCTCAGTTAACTGGCACCTATGGGTGTTGGTTTATGCCAGATAAATGTAATTTTTGGTTGCTTATGAGTTACTATTAAAAATAAGCTTAACTACCGTATATACTCAAATATAAGCTGGCCTGAATATAAGCTGAGGCACCACATTTTACAACAAAAAACTGGGAAAACGGTTTGACTCGAGTATAAGCCGGGGGTGGGAAATGCAGCAGCTATTGGTAAATTCCAAAATAAAAATAGATACCAATAAAATTGCATTAATTGAGGTATCGGTAGGTTAAATGTTTTTGAATAAATAAGATAAGACTGTCCTCTGATTAAAGCATTATTCTAACCTTCTTCAGTGTAAATGTGTTTACATACCTTTCCAATAATAATAGAGTAAAATAATAAATGTAATAATAACAGTAATAAAGAATAAAATAAATGTAATAATAATAGAGTAAAATGATTAATGTAATAATAACAATAATAAAGAATAAAATAATAAATGTAATAATAATAATAGAGTAAAATGATTAATGTAATAATAATAATAATAGAGTAAAATAATAAAAAACCTTGACTCGAGTATAAGCCAAGGGAAACTTTTTCAGCCTAAAGAAAGGACTGAAAAACTAGGCTTATACTCGAGTATATACAGTAATACTATATCCCATACTATACCAGAAACTTTGTATTGACTTGATATTCATACTGAAACACAGTAATTATTAAAGGCAAATTAATGCAAACCTAAATTAATGTAACACAGTTTTACTGTTTTACTATATTATAAAAACAGCTTTTTAAAATTCAAAGTATTATTTCTTTGATTTTTTTTCATGGTTGCTTGAGCGTTCTGGTTGCTAGGTTCCAGTTAACTGACACTGTACCATATGGTAAAGGCAAGGGCAAGTGAAGGAAGCAAGCTGGAGGGAAGGCAAGAGACAGAAGTCAGGAAAGGAATGAAGGTACAAATGGTGGCGCATTTTCTTCCATCTCAGTCTACTGCAGAATTCAGACTACTATAAATTTTAGAGATTATGATGAATTGTTACTTGCCTCAGTTATGTAATGGGATATAATTGTCAGCAGTCTCACCACATTGAGACTTACAGACGTCCCTCCACATTTGCGATTTTGACTTTTGTGGATTTGATAATTCACATATTTGTTTTTAAATGTTCTCTCTAGAAATTTCTACAGTGGCACAATGAGTTAAACCCTTGTGCTGCTGAACTGCTGACCTGAAGGTTGGCAGTTCAAATCCGCAGAACGGGATGAGCTCCCACTATTAGCCCTAGCTCCAGCCAACCTAGCAGTTCGAAAACATGCAAATGTGAGAAGATAAATAGGGTACCACTTCAGCAGGAAAAGGCAAAAGGATGCTCCAAGCAATCTTGCTGGCCACACGACCAGGAGGTGACAATGCCGATTTCTCAGCTTGGAAATGGGAGAAAAGAACCTCCCCCAGAGCCAGAGATGAGCACCACCTTCAGAAGTCGGAAATGAAAGGAGAAGTCTTTGCCTTTGTGTTTCTGTGTCTCATTGTATATGATTGTAATCAAAGCACTGAATGTTTGCCTTTGTCTACTGTATATGTTGTATTCCGCTGAGTCCCCTAGAGAAGGGCGGAATATAAATAAAGTGCATTATTATTATTATTATTATTCCAGACATTGTAGATTACTTAAGAGATTTCTAGAGAGAACACCTCTTTAAGGAATCTCTAAGTCTTCCAATATGGATCCATGACCAGCTTCCAGAAGTTTACCACAGAATTAGGCTGGAAGAGCTAGACATTCCTAGAGAAGTGTTTTTTCAGGTAAAAAAAGTTATTGCTTTATTCGTAGTTTTCACTATTGCGATGGTCCCATGCCCCTAACCCCAGCAAATGTGGAGGGCCAGCTGTATATGAGGCTACTAGTCAGAGGTTTAGCACGGATGGTAAATCACCAGCAATTATAAGATCTATCAACTAAAATGTTGCATGTTCGAAACCTCGGGTAGGTGTGAGCTGCTGACTGTCAGCCTAGCTCACTGTTTATCTAAACTTTAGCTGTAATTAGAGAAATTAGGTACCGCTAAAAGCGGTGGAGATGTTTTACGATGCCATAAAGAAAGAAAATCGGAAGCAAAAGGAGGAAGTCCTGACATAGAGGATGGAGTGACAGCACCCCCTCTGGCTGGACTCAAACCCAACCTTCCATGGCACCAAAACAGCTGGACACTAAGTCGAAACAAACCACTTTCTTCTGCTCTCACTGTCTGTGTATTGTCTATTAAAAATGGCATTGAATGTTTGCCGTGTATGTGTACTGTGATCTGCCCTGAGTCCCTTTTGGGGTGAGAAGGGTGGAATATAAATAAAGTGTTGTTGTTATTGTTGTTGTTACTACTACTACCTCAGAATGTAGAAGCTAGAGAGAGAGAGAGGCTACTACTTTTTGTACCTGGAGGATTCTGGGAGTCATAGCACAAAAAGAAGTAACTTACTTAACATGTAGAGCTATGTACTAAATTCTTCAAACAGATGCACTAAGAAGCACTGCACAAGCTTAAATTTTGTCTGGCATATTTTATACTCCTAACGAGAATATTTCAGTTGAGTAACTAAATGTTTGTGCATATATATATTTGAACACTGCAGTTATCAATTGCCAGTTATCAAAAGTATCATCTTATCTGGTATCATGAAGTTCCCAGAAGTTCTGCTTCTCCATACACAGGACAGGTTTAATTTTTCCACCGGCACATGAATTTATGCACCGGAGGGGTCTCTTACCGAGCGAAATCACAGTTTCGTAGTTCTCCTGCATGTCGACCCACAAATATTCTCTTTCTAGAAGTTCCTTCAGTCTTCTCAGGTGAGGCTCATAAGAGCACCTGCATTTTAAAAAGAATGATGAATTTGTGCCATGTAGGGGCCACACAAAATATTTTTGTCATCACATTTTGGCTGATACCAAATGAGAGATTCTCTCCTGGACACACAGAAGACTGGGCAACTTGGAAGATGCTGAACAGACTGCGCTCTGGCACCACGAGATGCAGAGTCAAACTTAAGAAATGGGGCTACAAAGTGAAGTCCACGGCATGCGAGTGTAGAGAAGAGCAAACCACAGACCACCTACTACAATGCAACCTGAGCCCTGCCATTTGGACAATGGAGGACGTTCTTATAGCAACACCAGAGGCACTCCAAGTGGCCAGCTACTGTTCAAAGGACATTTAATAGAATGCCAAGTTTTTAAACTTCAAGTTTTCTCAAATACATTGGTTCACTCCTGATACGAKAAATAAATACTAACACCTTCAGGTCTTGCAAACTCAGACCATAATGCCCTTGGTCAAATCTATCTACCTATAATTGGGTATTTTTATTTGTATCTTGCTTTAACTTTTTAAAAAAGAGGGGCAGCTGTCAATAAAATACAATTTAAAAGCAAATATACAAACATTAAAATAGAATTAAACATTAACAGCATTAAAAATAAACAGTTAAAACCAGTTGTTTCCCTCTTTACCTTCTCCCTTGCCAAGCATCATTGCCCTTTTCTAGTGAGTCATGTCTTCTCTTAATATGCTGAAAGTATGACAATATCAGCTTAATCAACATTGGCTTCTAGGGAAAGTTCAGACTTGATTTGTTCTTTGAACCATTCAGGATACAAATGGAAATAATCTAACGTTTGGTTGGTGGTGTGTGAGCAGTGCTATATCCCAAAATGTTTTAGACATTAACTGAACTGAAACATCTCATCAATAAACCAACAAACTGAGCTGATGAAGTTGGCATACTGCGTTACAGAATTCTTACAGAACAGTGGTTTCCAACCTGTGGTCTATAGTTTAGTTCTTGGTCCGCAATAACTAAAATATGGTCTGCGGCCTCACCATTACTAAACCGTTGCAATGAGAGCGACTGGTCTCGCAAAACCCTCTTATAGTGCCGAGGCTTATTAAACATGGTTTTCTGTGGGTGAACAGATGGTGACTACTGGATGGTATATGTTCTGTATCAGAAACTAGAGCTGATGTGGTCTATCCGATTCAATTTTCTGAATCAGCACCCCAAATAACCAAACTGAATCTAAACAGATTCATAACCCTTTTGGTATTAATATTTTGATATTAATATTGGAGAGTGGTCCCTGGTTAAGTTGTCCCAGGTAAAAAAAAATGTTGGGAACCACTGTTCTAGAATGAATGGGAAGGAACATGTTGCACTTCATGGTATGACTACACATCTCACAAACATAAAACTTTGGGTTACTGAATGGTTATCTAACTTTATAGCATTCACATGCTAGAGAAACTTCCTCCCAATTGGACCACCACAGGAAGCATTGGATCTATGAACTTTTCTACCAATTGCTACAGATATTAATCTTCAGAAGAACAAACACAGAAACATTGTGCTTAGAATAAGCTGTCTTCCCAAATTTTGTTTATATTGTATTGTCGAAGGCTTTCATGGCCAGAATCACTGGGTTGTTGGTGGTTTTTCAGACTTCATAGCCTCTGAGGATGCCTGCCACAGATGCAGGTGAAACGTTTGGAGAGAATGCTTCTTGAACATGGCTATACAGCCTGAAACACCTACGACAACCCATTTGTTTATATTTATTTACATGTTCATAGAATAGATGTGGTAAAATAACATAAGGCCCCAAAACTATTATGCAGTCCAGGTCTCTAGGAGACCTCCCTGAAGAATGCTGAATCTAGACAAATCAAATTCCCATTGACTTGAGTGTGATTTTTGACTGAAAACTTTACCAAAACTATCCAAACGGTTTCAAATCTCCTAAAAGCCTGCCAAAACCCCAAAATAAAATGGCAGCCAGAAGTAACACAATGTCACTATTTGGTGTATCCCAAATGTGATGGTGTGATTCATGTAGTGGGAAATATTTTCTCATGGAACTGTTCATATCTGCTGCAGGAAACCTTGGGCCTCTTTGACTATGGTGCTGTTTAAGGACACATAAGAAAAACACTGCCTGAAATATACCTCTAAAAAAGCAAACCAGTATAACATATTCAGTATTTGTCAAAACGCTGCACTTCTACATTGAGGGTACAAGAAGTGACAAATCTATTGGGGGGAGTTGTCTGTATTTTTGAAACAGCCCCCAATTTTGCTACACAGCACATCTTTGAAGTTCTAACAGTGTTTACTTTATAAATCATATCTTAGTTCCTGTCTCAGACCTATAACAGTCTGTTTAGCAGAGAGGGAAAAATAGTAACAGAAAGTATGAATACAGACAGGAACTCAGGACCCTTCCACACAGCCATAAAACCCAGAATATCAAGGCAGAAAATCCCACAATATCTGCTTTCAACTGGGTTATCTGAGTCCACACTGCCATATATTCCAGCTCAAAGCAGGTAATGTGGGATCTTATTCAGTCTTGGGGAAGGTGCCAGAGTCAAAAACTGATTGATTGACACATGGTTTTCGCAAGATGCATATTGCAGGATTGATGCAGATTGGCACCACTTTAACTGCCATTGTGGAGCCCCCGGTTGTTCAGTGGGTTAAAGCTCTGTGCCGGCAGGACTGAAGACCGACAGGTCACAGGTTCGAATCCGGGGAGAGGCGGATGAGCTCCCTCTATCAGCTCCAGCTCCTCATGCGGGGACATGAGAGAAGCCTCCCACAAGGATGATAAAAACATCAAATCATCCGGGCGTCCCCTGGGCAACGTCCTTGCAGACGGCCAATTCTCTCACAACAGGAGCGACTTGCAGTTTCTCAGGTCGCTCCTGACACGACCAAAAAAAAAACTGCCATTGTTAAATGTTTTTTTTTTTAATAAATAATCTTTATTCAAATTTTCAGTAATAACACACACATCAAAAGCACAACATTGACAGAGTGGGGACAATACAGAAAAAAAAACATTGTGTTGTGACTGCTGATATTAGGGGGGGGCAGGGAGGGGAAAGGAGAAGCATATGGGAGGAAGGGGGAAAGGGGGGGATCGAAAGACAGTAAGGGGAGGAGGAGAGGGAGGGAAAATTAGACACATCGGGGTGGGGGAACGGGTTAAAAAAAAAAAGAAAAAAAAAGGCAGATAGCCTAATCTTGACTTCCTAAATAGTTCACGGGGGGTGGGGGTGGGTAAAAGTAGATTTTGTATTTTCCTTTTCCTCTTATCGTAGTAACTACCACTGTCTTTCTCAGCAACCTTCTAATAAGATATTCTTCTTCTCCTTTAGGTATATCCTCAATAATTTCCAGTCTATTTTTTTTTCTGGTTTTTGTCGTACACCAGATTTGCTAGTGAGTCCATTTCCATTAGGTCTCTGACCTTTAAGAGCCAGTCTTCCACAGTTGGGAGGTCTTTATTTTTCCAATGGCTTGCCAGGACCGTTCTTGCTGCAGCTGTAGCATGGTATAATATCTTTTCTTTGTTATTATCTATACTAAAGTCAAGCAGATGCAGCAGGTAGTATTCAGGTTTTAGATCAAATTTTATCTGGATTATTTGTTGGATTTGTTTGTGAATCTCGGTCCAGAAGCTTTTCACTTTCTTACACTGCCACCAGGCGTGAAGAAAGGATCCTATTTGTGTGCCGCATTTCCAACAGCTACTGCTTGTCCCTTTGTAATACTTCGCTATTTTCTGGGGCGTTAGATGCCACCGGTAAAACATCTTTTGCCAGTTTTCTGTTATGGATGCTGATTTTGCGAATCTGATTTTCTCCTTCCAGATACGCTCCCATTCTTGAAGCAGAATGGTGTGACCAAAATCTGTTGCCCAAGCAATCATATTATCCTTAATCAATTCCGTTTCTGTGTCCCATTCAAGCAATTTACTGTAGAGCACTTTGATTAGTTTCTTCTCCTTTACCATTATGGATTCCCAAAAGTTGTTTGACGGTGCAAAGTCTTTCTTCCTGTCTTCTTTGAATGCTTCCGCCACTTGGATATAATGGAACCAAGACAGGTTTTCATTAAATGTTATGGGATCCTAGGAGTTGTAGTTTTACAAGGCCTTCTCTACCAAAGGGCGCTTCCAGGCAGCACTAAATTGTGCACTTTAGTTTAGGGGCTAAAAAACCCGGGACCTGAGATTTTCAGATACAGACTTAAAAACTTACGATATGAACATACGAAGATACAAATTGTCATATAAGTTCTGTTCCTGGGTTATATAAACTGCAGGGCCATCTGTGAAAACCGGATGTTGTTCCTGGGTTATACACGTCTATTCTAATTGCTCTTATTGTGAAAAAAATGTACAACGTTGACTAGGGGGCCACAACTTTGTCCTGGCCAGAGAAAACGTGCCCCCACTTTGGGGTGAGAAGGGCAGAATATAAATAAAGTATTATTATTATTATTGTCTGGACGGGCCCAAAGAGTGCTGGTACCTTACCAAACTACAAAACTAGGATCCTATAGCATTGAGTCAGAGCAGTTACAGCGGTGTCAGACTCCATGGATTGATTCTACAGTTGAGATGCACCCAGAGAAAGAGGGCGTGACCCACTGCAACTCTTATGATTCCATAGCATTGAGCCATGACAGTTAAATGTGGTGTCAAACTGCATTAATTTTACAGTGTGGCTACATCCCCCCAATTAGAACTAGGTATTTGAGTCATGATCGCAAGGCTCATATGGACATTCGTGAACTACCAAAAGGAGTAGAAACAAATCTCATGACATTGGCAAACTCAAACAAAGGGTGTATTTCCAAGACAGAATAATACTTTAACTCAATGCTACGGAACCATAGGAGCTGTAGTTTTACAAGGCCTTTAGCCTTCTCTGCCCAATGGTGCTAGTGCCTCACCAAACTACCACTCCCATGATCCTATAATATTGAGCCAAAGTGGTGCCAAAMTGCATTAATTCCACAATGTAAACACACCCAAAGAAAGGGGGCGTGATAGACGAATATGGGAGGGGGGGGGGGKTATTACATAGAGGAAGAAAGGAAACTACCACTCACCAAACTACCACTCTCATGATCCTATAATATTGTGCCAAAGTGGTGCCAAACTGCATTAATTCCACAGTRTAAACACATCCAAAGAAAGGGGGCGTGATCGACAAATATGCAAGGGGGGGGGGGGTTATTACATAGAGGAAGGAAGGAAACTACCACTCACCAAACTACCACTCCCATGATCCTATAATATTGTGCCAAAGTGGTACCAAACTGCATTAATTCTACAGTGTAAACACACCCAAAGAAAGGGGGCGTGATCGACGAATATGCAGAGAGGGGGGAGAGAAAKATTACATAGAGGAAGAAAGGAAATATATTGGAACAAATCGAGGGGGGGGGGAATTGGGGGGGGCAATGTATAGAAGGTCAGAAACATGAGATCTTGAGGGGGGGTCGTGAGAGCTGCAAAAATATCTCTGGATGGATCATCCTTTCACATTGCACCTAAAGGGTACCCCCTTTTCTCTCCAAATGTCCGCCCCCCTGAAATCCAGGGTCCATCTCTGTCCTGCTCAGCCTCCATTGTTTCCTCCTGGTGCATCGGACCTTGAGAAAGGAGGAGGGAGGGGAAGAAAGCGGCTTTGAGACGCATTCCTTCCTCTCTCTCTCCCTCTCCCTCTGCACGCCCCCAAGAGCCCCCCTTTTGTGCTTCATTCCAGATCCATTTACCTGCTGCTGTTGCTGCTCAGGGCTTGGGGGGTCCAGCCCCCAACGATGCTGGTGGCTGATTTACAGAGCAATCGTGGCCCCTTCGCAAGGAGCTGGCATGGAAAGGGTGGGGGGCTTAAGGGAAGCAACAGCGAGCTGCAAACTCCAGGAAGCGCGATTCCACATCCTGGCGAGAGAAAAGAATGAAAGAGGGAAAGAGAGAGAAGAGAGTGGAAGGGAAAGACCTCCCTTCCCCTCGCCAGCCACAAAGCGGGCCCTCTGGCGGCTGAAGGCTCGCTTGCCTCGGAAAGGGACTCTGGAGGACACCTGGCTCAGGGGTTCTCAACCTTCCTCATGTTGTGGAGGCCCCCAACCATAACATTATTTTAGTTGCTACTTCACCATTGTAATTTTGCTACTGTTATAAATCATCATGTATCATCAGCTTGTCAGCAGCCTATGATACTGTGAACCACCGCCTCCTCCTGAGAAAAAGGTATAATATCACAAAGGACTACCATCTCACCCGCCTCATAGGAAACCTGCTACAAAACAGGAGCTTTTTTGTTGAGTTCCAGGGCCAGAGAAGCAGATGGCGGAAACAGAAGAACGGCCTGCCTCAGGGGAGCGTGCTTGCTCCATCCATGTTCAACATCTACACAAATGACCAGCCACTGCCAGAAGGGACAGAGAGTTTCATCTATGCTGATGATCGTGACATTACTGCTCAAGCATCCCGAGCTTTAAGATGGTTGAACAGAAGCTCTCCGAAGCTCTAGGTGCTCTTACTGCCTATTACAAGGAAAACCAACTGATCCCTAACCCATCTAAAACACAGACATGTGCCTTTCACCTTAAGAACAGACAAGCATCCCGAGCTCTGAGGATTACCTGGGAAGGAATCCCACTGGAGCATTGCAGCACACCCAAATACCTGGGAGTCACTCTGGACCGTGCTCTGACCTACAAGAAGCACTGCCTGAACATCAAACAAAAAGTGGGCGCTAGAAACAATATCATACGAAAGCTGACTGGCACAACCTGGGGATCACAACCAGACACAGTGAAGACATCTGCCCTTGCGCTATGCTACTCTGCTGCTGAGTACGCATGCCCAGTGTGGAACACATCTCACCACACTAAAACAGTAGATGTGGCTCTTAATGAGACATGCCGCATTATCACAGGGTGTGTCTGCGCCCTACACCACTGGAGAAATTACACTGCTTAGCCGGTATTGCACCACCTGACATCCGCCGGGAAGTAGCAGCCAATAGGGAAAGGACCAAGGCAGAGACATCTCCAGCTCATCCCGTTTGGGTATCAGCCAGCACGTCAACGACTTAAATCAAGAAATAGTTTTCTAAGATCTACAGAGACACTCGTTGGAACACCCCAGCAAGCGAGAGTCCAAAAGTGGCAGGCTCAAACCCAGCACCTCAATCCATGGGTGATACCAGATGAGAGACTCCCCCCTGGGCACACAGAAGACTGGGCGACTTGGAAGGCGCTGAACAGACTGCGCTGTGGCACCACGAGATGCAGAGCCAATCTTAAGAAATGGGGCTACAGGATAGAATCCTCGGCATGCGAGTGCGGAGAAGAACAAACCACTGACCACCTGCTCCAATGCACCCTGAGGCCTGCCACATGCACAATGGAGGACCTTCTTGCGGCAACCCCAGAGGCACTCCAAGTGGCCAGATACTGGTCAAAGGACATTTAACCAAATACCAAATTTGCAAAATCTGTGTGTTTTTTCCTTTTCCTTTTTAATCTGTGTGTTTGTTTTGCTCTGTTAGAATTGTAATACAATGGTTGCTGATGACACAATAAATATAAATAAATCATGTATCAAATATCCGAAATACAACACTGCCTGAGCTCTGCGAGTGCAGCTTTTTTCCGAATGAAGCAGAGAGTGTTTGTGGACCCAGACATCCAGGGATACCAAGGTGCTTGTTTATAATGCTATTGTCCTCCCAAACCTGCTATACGCCTGCGAGATGTGGACTGTCTACAGATGTTACATGCAGCTCCTGGAAGGATTCCATCAGCACTGCCTCCGGAAAATCCTGCAAATCTCAACTGTAGGCGTATTGGGTATTTGTGCCAAATGTGGTCCATTGAATGTACATCCTGCCTATCAGATATTTACTTACTTACTTAGGCGATCCCTCGTAGTCTGAGGATGATGGTCCTCCAAGTGTAGCACCGGGATTGTGGCACAGCTGGCTGAGTGTCAGCTGCATTAAGATCACTCTGACCAAAAGGTCATGAGCTCGAAGCCAGCCCGGATTGGAGTGGGTTTCCAACCAATTGTGTGTAGCCTGCTGTCGACCTTTGCAACCCGAAAGACAGTTGCATCTGTCAAGTAGGAAAATTAGGTACCACCTTAAAGTGTGGGGAGGCTAAATTAACTGATTTATGAGGCCATAAAGAAGACTCCAACAAAGCATTCCAGCGGGAAAGCATGCAGGGAATGCGGAAGTGTTTCATCAGCGTCGCAAATGGACGATGAAAGCGACAGCTCCCCTGGCGGCCAGAAAAAGTTAAATAGCCTCTGTGTATGTCTGTATATGTTTGTATGTCAAAAATTGGCATTGAATGTTTGGCATATGTGTGTACACTGTAATCCGCCCTGAGTTCCCTGCGGGGTGAGAAGGGTGGAATATAAAAGCTGTAAATAAATAAATAAATAAATAAATAATAGTGTCCTGGCGGTGGATCCGTAGGTGACTATGGAGCCCTATTCTTCACCTGCATCTTCTCCCCAGTGAGGGAATTGGTTTCCAGGTGGAAGGTGGTCCCAGTCGGGGTTGGCTTGACGTGCCTTCCTCTTGGCACATTTCTCTCTTTCGCCCTCCATTAGTGCCTCTTCAAATTCTGCAGCACTGCTGATCACAGCTGAACTCCAACTGGAGCATTCAAGGGCCAGGGCTTCCCAGTTCTCAGTCTCTATGCCAGATGAGCCCATCTTTCAATCTCTTTTCCTGCCCACCAACATTCCGTTTTCTGTTCTTGAGTTCAGAGTAGAGCAACTGCTTTGGGAGATGGTGGTCGGGCATCTGGACAACATGGCCGGTCCAGCAGAGTTGATGGCGGAGGACCATCACTTCAGAGCTGGTGGTCTTTGCTTCTTCCAGCACGCTGACATTTGTCCATTTGTCTTCCCAAAAGATTTGCAGGATTTTATGGAGGCAGCGCTGATGGAAACGTTCCAGGAGTTGCATGTGACGTCTGTAGACAGTCCATCTCACAGGCATATAGCAGGGTTGGGAGGACAATAGCTTTATAAACAAGCACTTTGGTATCCCTACGGATGTCCCGGTCCTCAAACACTCTCTTCTTCATTTGGAAAAAAGCTGCACTCGCAGAGCTCAGGCGGTGCTGTATTTCAGTGTCAATGTTGACTTTTATGGAGATGTGGCTGCCATGGTAGCGGAAATCAGGCCCGTAGCCAGGATTTCGATTCGGGGGGGGGGGGGCTGAGTTTGTTTCAGGGGGGGCTGAGTCTGAGTGAAAGAGGGTCTACCCTAGCAAACCTTTTGTATCGTTACCCCAATACCCCCATGCATATGGGATATATTGAGCATGGTGATCAGATCATGATATGAATAAACATAACAGTTTAAATAATGTACCAGTAAGGCCTTTTTGCGGACCACCATGAGAATTACGGGGGGAGAGGTGGCTGCCAAGTTGGCGGAAATGGTCAACATTTTCTAATGTTACACCATTAAGCTGTATTTCTGGCATTGGAGAGCAATTGGCTGGTGACTGCTGGAAGAGCACTTTGGTTTTCTCGATGTTCAATGACAGGCGAAGCTTCTCATATGCTTTCGCAAAGGTGTTAAGAGTGGCTTGTAGACCTTCTTCTCAATGTGCACAGATGACGTTGTCATCAACATATTGGAGTTCTATAACAAATGTTGTAACCTTGGTTCTGGCTTTCATTCTACTGAGGTTAAATAGCTTGCCATCTGTCCGAAATCATCGATAGATTTATTTATTTATTTATCATGTCAGGAGCAGACCAAACAGCTGCATTGCATTTTTTAACAAACAAACAAACAAACAGACAAACAAAACACAAAGTTTGCAAGCTTGGTAGTTGATTAAATGTCCTTTGACCAGTAGCTGGCCACTTGGAGTGCCTCTGGTGTTGCTGCAAGAAGGTTCTCCATTGTGCATGTGGCAGGGCTCAGGTTGCATTGCAGCAGGTGGTTTGTAATTTGCTCTTCTCCACATCGCATGTCGTGGATTCCACTTTGTACTCCCATTTCTTAAGGTTGGCTCTGCATCTCGTGGTGCCAGAGCACAGTTTGTTCAGTGCCTTCCAAGTTGCCCAGTTTTCTGTGTGCCCAGGGAGGAGTCTCTCATTTGGTATCAGTCATTGATTGAGGTTCTAAGTTTGAGCCTGCCACTTTTGGACTCTCGCTTGCTGAGGTGTTCCAGCGAGTGTCTCTGTAGATCTAAGAAAACTATTTCTTGATACCCAAACAGGTGATGAGCTGGAGATGTCACTGCCTTGGTCATTTCACTATTGGTTGCTACTTCCCGGCGGATGTCAGGTGGTGCAATACCGGCTAAGCAGTGTAATTTCTCCAGTGGTGTAGGGCGCAGACACCACATGATAATGCGGCATGTCTCATTAAGAGTCATATCTACTGTTTTAGCGTGGTGAGATGTGTTCCACACTAGGCATGCATACTCAGCAGCAAAGTAGCATAGCGCAAGGGCAGATGTCTTCACTGTGTCCGGTTGTGATCCCCAGGTTGTGCCAGTCAGTTTTCGTATGATATTGTTCTTAGCACCCACTTTTGCTTGATATTCAGGCAGTGCTTCTTATAGGTCAGAGCATGGTCCAGAGTGACGCCCAGATATTTGGGTGTGCTGCAATGCTCCAGTGGGATTCCTTCCCAGGTAATCCTCAGAGCTCGGGATGCTTGTCTGTTCTTAAGGTGAAAAGCACATGTCTGTGTTTTAGATGGGTTAGGAATCAGCTGGTTTTCCCTGTAATAGGCAGTAAGATTACCTAGAGCTTCGGAGAGCTTCTGTTCAACCATCTCAAAGCTCCCTGCTTGAGCAGTAATGGCACGATCATCAGCATAGATGAAACTCTCTGTCCCTTCTGGCAGTGGCTCGTCTTTTGTGTAAATGTTGAACATGGATGGAGCAAGCACGCTCCCCTGAGGCAGGCCATTCTTCTGTTTCCGCCACCTGCTTCTCTGGCCCTGGCACTCAACAAAGAAGCTCCTGTTTTGTATTAGGTTTCCTATGAGGCGGGTGAGGTGGTAGTCCTTTGTGATATTATACATCTTTCTCAGGAGGAGGCGGTGGTTTACAATACCATAAGCCACTGACAGGTCTATGAAGACAGCTCCTGTGATCTGCTGCCTTTCAAAGCCATCTTCTATGTGCTGGGTCAGGTTCAGCACTTGCAATGTGCAGCTTTTGCCTTTTCTGAAGCCAGCTTGCTGTGGGATCAGACATGGGTCTATTTTTTCCGTAATTCTATGCAAAATAAGTCTCTCCAGAACTTTGTAGAGGTGGCACAACAGGGAGATTAATCTATAGCTATTTGGATCATTACGACTTTGCCTGGCTTCAAGATGACGATGACTCTTGCTTTCCTCCAGATTTTGGGGATCTGACAGGATGCAGTGCAATTGTTCATCTGTTCCAGCAGCCAGCGCCTTGCTTTTGGACAAAAGTTCTTGATTTGTTCCATCCGTAGATCATCCAGGCCAGCTGCTTTACCATTTTTACATTTATTGGGCCTGTGCATAAGACTGTAGACAGGACATAAATTCTGTGTGCCCAACGGGACGCCGGGGCTGCCTCAGATTAAAGGCCCTTGGATTTCCTTAAAACAGAGTCTTTAGATTGCTTAAAGGTTCAACAAAGTTCTTTATTAATGAAAACAAACAGGTACTTCAAGGCTTTCTTAACAGTCTATTGACTCTTGTCCACTGGGAACAGTCACTATCTTCTTAACTGTAACTAACTAATGGGGAAATCCTTAACTTCTAATCTGGGCAGTCTGTCTTTGCCTCTGTTGGCGTGGAGCCCCTGCACCCGGTACCAACTGCGTCTGGCTTCCATGAGCGACCCTTACCAAGCAGAGCTTTGTAGACTTCCAGGGAAAAAGGAGTTCAGGTTTCAGTGATGGCTGGCTGAAGTCCTTCAGCAAAGGAGCTGTAAGGCTGTATGATCCTTGGCCAAGCTGTGGGCTGTATAACCCCGGCCAAGCTGTAGGCTGTATATCTCCCCGGCCAAGCCGTAGAAGACGAAGCTTTCTACAGGAGCTCTTGGTTTTATGTCCTGCATGAAAGGCTTCTCTGTATGGACTAAAACCCAAAAAGGGGGCTGGACCAGGGAACCTAACTATAATTGACAGGTGGCTTGCCCTATGATTGCAGCCAAAAGAAGCCACCTATCTGCAGAGTCCCTGAAACTTAGGACTGCAACAAACATTCAATGCAAAGCAAACAAAATTGGAGCTCCTGGTGCAGTTGTACCAGCACAGTAGATGTAAAAGGTTCTTGAAGGTTGTTGTTCTCAATATTTGGTTGTCTGGCTATTGGTTTCTTTCCTACTTTGGTGGCAAGGTTGGGTTTCGATAGATTATTATATATATACTGGGCATTGTAGTTTGTATTTGTAATGCTAGATATATGTGTGTGTGAATGTATGTATATATGTTTGAGAGACAAATATGGATTGGACATAAACATTCCAGTCAGAGGGAGAGAGTGTGTGTGTGTTTGCCCTCGTGACTGGGCCGCGTGCCTCTCTGAGGCGCTTCTTTGGCGCTGGGCCTCGTCAGGCGCTCATTGGCCTCGCTTCCCTCCCTCTCTCTCTCTCATTCCCCCCGCCTCCTTTCCCGCTCTCTTGGCGGTTGACGGGGAGGACGGTCCCGGGGGGAGGGGCCTGCCGCTGCCGGGGCCTCCGATTGGCTGAGGGAGTCGCTCGCCTCGTCAGTCAATCGAAGCCTCTTCCTCCTTTCTCCCCTCAGACGGCGGTTGCCTCCGATTGAGGAAGGACTCGCCTCTTGCTTCTCCTCCCATGGCCGGGCGCGGCGGGAACTTCCCCCTGGCCTCGCCGCCCGAGAGGCTGCCTTCCATGGCGCTCTCGGCCTCAGCAGGCGTCCCTCTTCCCCCGGGGCCCGGAGGTGGTGTGCTTTTGCGAGGAGGGCCCAGCCCCGGGGCCACCCCATTCCGGCCCATGGCGCACGGAGTCCCCTTCCAAGTAGGTGGCTTCTGGAGGAGGGAGTGTCGGGGAGAAGCAGACACGAGGAAGGCATGGCTTTTAGACACGTGTCTGGGTCAGGAAAGGTTTGGCTTTCAAAGCAAGCTGCTGTTGTGTGCCTTTGAATGTTTTTTCCCCATCTCTTGTTTGGTTTTGTTTTGTTGATTTGCCCAGAAGTTGTTTGCTTTGCCTTCTCTGAGGCTGAGAGAGTGGGCTTCCATGGCAGAGGCGCTGTCTACACTGCTGTCAAATCCAGTTTCTGAATCCACTTCACACTACGTAACACGATTATTGTTCCTGGGTTATTTCCATCATTTCCTAATTGGTTCTATAGAATCAAAGAGTTGGAAGAGACCTCATGGGCCATCCAGTCCAACCCCCTGCCAAGAAGCAGGAATTTTGCATTCAAATCACCCCTGACAGATGGCCATCCAGCCTCTGTTTAAAAGCTTCCAAAGAAGGAGCCTCCACCACACTCCGGGGCAGAGAGTTCCACTGCTGAACGGCTCTCACAGTCAGGAAGTTCTTCCTCATGTTCAGATGGAATCTCCTCTCTTGTAGTTTGAAGCCATTGTTTCGCGTCCGAGTCTCCAGGGAAGCAGAAAACAAGCTTGCTCCCTCCTCCCTGTGGCTTCCTCTCACATATTTATACATGGCCATCATATCTCCTCTCAGCCTTCTCTTCTTCAGGCTAAACATGCCCAGCTCCTTAAGCCGCTCCTCATAGGGCTTGTTCTCCAGACCCTTGATCATTTTAGTCGCCCTCCTCTGGACACATTCCAGCTTGTCAATATCTCTCTTGAATTGTGGTGCCCAAAATTGGACACAGTATTCCAGGTGTGGTCTAACCAAAGCAGAATAGAGGGGTAGCATTACTTCCCTTGATCTGTCATTAAAAACATGAAAAAAAGATTTATGAAATTGCAAAAATATGTCTTTTGCAGGACATCCTGCAGCACATTTTGCTACAGGTCTTCAATTAACATTTTATTTATCGTGTCAGAAGCGAATTAAGAAAACATATAATTTTTTTGTCGTGTCAGGAGCGACGTGAGAAACTGCAAGTCGCTTCTGGTGTGAGAGAATTGGCCATCTGCAAGGATGTTGCCCAGGGGATGCCTGGATTATTATTTTTTGTCGTGTCAGAAGCGACTTGCAGTTTCTCAAGTCGCTCCTGACACGACAAAAAAAATAATTCAGGCGTCCCCTGGGCAACATCCTTGCAGATGGCCAATTCTGTGTGAGAGAATTGGCCATCTGCAAGGATGTTGCCCAGAGGACACATGGATTTATTTTTTTTGTCGTGTCAGGAGCGACTTGAGAAACTGCAAGTCACTTCTGGTGTGAGAGAATTGGCCATCTGCAAGGATGTTGCCCAAGGGGCACCTGGATTTTTTTTTTTGTCGTGTCAGGAGTGACTTGAGAAACTGCAAGTCGCTTCTGGTGTGAGAGAATTGGCCATCTGCAAGGATGTTGCCCAGGGGATGCCTGGATTATTATTATTTTTTGTTGTGTCAGGAGCAACTTGAGAAACTGCAAGTCACTTCTGGTGTGAGATAATAGGCCATCTGCAAGGATGTTGTTCAGGGGATGCCCAGATGATTTGATGTTTTTATCATCCTTGTGGGAGGCTTCTCTCATGTCCCCATGAGGAGCTGGAGCTGATAGAGGGAGCTCATCCGCCTCTCCCCGGATTCGAACCTGCGACCTGTTGGTCTTCAGTCCTGCTGGCACAGCACTGAATACAGTCCTGTGTATTATAATGAATATATATAAATAAAAATGTAATGTTCGTTTGTGAGATTAACATAACTCAAAAACCACTGGACGAATTGACACCAAATTCGAACACAATACCCTTATCAGGCCAACGAGTGACCATCACTCATAAAAACACTGAAAAACACAGCAGAAGAGACTTAAAAGCCAAAAAATAAAAAATTCATTACAATGCATGTGCAGAACCACATATATATATATACGCAAACAAATATATACACATATACACACACAAAGAACATATATATAGACTGGGCCATAGCAACGCGTGGCAAGGGATGGTAGTTTAAAATAAACACAAACAAAGTTAAAAACTTGGCATAATGCAAAATTTTCTGTGCCTCTGGTGTCACTGTAAGAAGGCCCTCTATTGTGCATGTGACAGGGCTCAGCCTGCATTGTAGTTAAGTGATATGTGGTTTGCTCTTCTCCACACTCTCATGTCGTTGACTCCACTTTGTGGCCCAATTTCTTAAGATTGGCTCTGCATCTCGTGGTGTCAGAGCGCAGTCTGTTCAGTGTCTTCCTAGTCGCCTAGTCTTCTGTGTACCCAGAAGGGAGTTTCTGATCCTGGGTCAGCCACTGTTTGATGTTTCAAGTTTTAGCCTGCCACTTTTGGACTCGTGTTTGCCGAGATGTTCTTGCGACTATCTCTGTAGATCTTAGAAAAGTATTTTCTGATTTAAGACGTTGGAATGCTGGCTGATATCCAAACAGAGGGTGGGCTGGAGATGTCAATGCCTTGGTCCTTTCTTTACTGGCTGCTACTTCTCGATACATATCAGATGGTGCAGTACCGACCAAACAGAATAATTTTTTCAACGGCGTAGGATATAGGCATCTTGTGATAATGCGGCATGTCTCATTAAGAGCCACATCCACTGTTTTAACGTGGTGAGATGAATTCCATACTGGGCATGCGTATTCAGCAGCAGAGTAGCACAGCGCAAGGGCAGATGTCTTCACTGTATCTCATTGTGATCCCCAGTTTGCCAGATGGCTTTAGTGTGATTTTTGCTTGATAGTCAAGCAGTGCTTCCTCCTTGTAAGTCAGAACATGGTCCAGAGTCTCTCCTGGGTATTTTGTTTTTTTTAATCATTTTAAAAATTAAATAACAACTTACAGTGTGAAAAGAATACAAAATAAAGAGCATTTTACAAACAACCCCACCACCTAGGTCTGAACAAATATTGTTTCCTCTGCCATACATTTCTGAGTGAACCACTAAACAAATGTCATATCCATTTAATGAAAGCCAACCAATATGAGTCAAATTCTAATATTTTAATTTCCCCCCTAAACATCCTAATTTCTACTGATAGTTTATCATTTAAGGCTACATGCCATATCTCCCCATACCATTGAGTGGTGATGGCATGGTTGTCAGCATAGATGAACCTCTCTGTCCCTTCTGGCATTGGCTGATCATTTGTGTAAATTTTAAACATTGATGGAGCAAGCATGCTCTCCTGGGGCAGGCCATTCTCCTGTCTTCATCATCTCCTTCTCTAGCCTTGGAACTCAACAAAACACTCCTGTTTTGTAGCAGATTTCCTATGAAGCAGATAAGGTGTGATATACATTTTTTTCCTCAGAAGGAGGCGATGATTTATAGCATTATAAGCTGATGATAGGTGTAAGTAGACAGCTCATGTAATCTGCTGGCTTTCAAAACCATCTTCTATGTTCTGTCAGTTTCAAAACTTGTGATGTGCAGCTTTTCCCATTCCTAAAACCAGCTTTCTGTGGAATCATAAATGGATCTATTTTTTCCATAATTCTATGCAGAATAAGTTTCTCCTGAACTTTATAAAGATGGCACAACAAGGAGATTGGTCTATAGCTTTCTGGATCATTACAGTCTCTCCCTGATTTCAAAATGGCTATGACTCTTGCTTTCCTCAATGAATATTCGATCAATTCAACCAAGTTTGTGGCAGCCACAAAAATGAAGTTTCTGGAGTATAATAATTACTTCCAATGCATATATAAAATAGGTATGGTAATCAGCATTTGAAAGGCCTGCTAAACAGGCTGATTTTCTTTTTACGAAATACAGCTGAAACATTTTCTGCAGACTCCATTGTAAAAGCTGCATGTTGTTGCTAATAGATTTGTCTAAATGCGTGGCACCCAGAAACCTTTTACGGTTGCTCAATTTTATGTGGCCCTAACATTGCGCTAATGGGACCCCATTTAGGGATGGAACCCAGAGGTTAAGAAGCAGAGATCTACATTTTAGAGTTGATGCAGTTTGACACCACCTTAATTGCCATGGCTCAATCTGATGGTGCTCTGAAATCAGTAGAGTTATAGTTTTGCTGTCTTTTAGAGTTTTCTGTCAAAGAGGGCTGGTTCCTCACAATGTTAAAACTCCCATGATCCCACAGCAGTGAGCCATGGGAGTTAAAGTGGTGTCAAACATCATTAGTTCTACGGCCTAAAAGTTGTGGTGGTGGTCCTAAGTCATAAGGGTTTCATTGCAAGATTTATTCAGAGAGGTCTGTCATTGCCTTCCTCTGAGGCTGAGAGAGTTTGACCCACCCGAGGTCATCCAGTGGTTTCATGACAGATCAGGGAGATATTGGGATGACAAGCAAGCAGCACTGTGTGGCCAAATGCTTCTTGGCAGCAGGAGGTAGATGGTATCTATTTGAGAGGAACATCCCCATAGTTAGAGTTGGTTGCATAGACGGAGGAACAAAGCAGCAATGTAGGAGATAAGGAGCATGTTTTGGGGGATTATGCCAGAGGAGCAACTGTATATCATTTTTTAAATGTTTTACTGGTTTTATGACACAGAGTTTAATTGATTTAATATTATCCTCGTATTTTTGTTTGCATTGTGTCATATTTCTTGTCAGCCACTTTGAGTCCCTACATTTGGGGAAAGTAGAGATAAAAATAAAGCAAGTAAATAAATAAAGTAAACTGTGACACATGCTGGAGAATGGCCAAAATACAAGTATAAAGGCATTTCCAGAAACTGTAAACAGTCACGGTCAGGTTAGGTTTTGGTTAAAGGTACATTTTCATCTGAGATATATGTAATATTTTATTAATACTGATGTAGTTGCTGCTTTTGAAGTGTAGCCTACCATGGAGTTTCAACTCAGGACTTAAAATTGAAATAATACAAGTAAAGATAGGGTGTTTTGGAGTATAATTTTAAAGGGTGTTGAAATATTGTTGTCTGTCAGCTGGACTTGTTCAGACCTAG